GTATAACGCCGGATGTGACGAAAGCGGAAATGGCGCACAGAATGTGACGAACCAGGAAGTAGAAGCCGAATGTAATGATATGGAGCGGCGCGCCGGATATGACGCTACAAAAAAAAATGCCGCTACCGCTCCCGGAAGAGACGTGCTGTGCTATGGCGCCTTGCCCGCTGTGGCCGTGCTCCGGCCGTCAGTCGTCGCGGCGCCTCGTGTAGCTGCGGATCGCCCGCTGGAAGTGCTCGGCCGTATTGAGGTGCGGCCGCAGCAGCACCACGAAGCCCTTCGGCAGGAAGTAACCGCCCAGCAGCGCTGCCAGCGTGCCCAGCGCGCCCAGCGCCGCCGTCACCGCCGCGCTCCGCCCGCGGAAGGCGCTCCGCGTGCAAAGGACGGCGGCGGAGCAGACGAGGTGCAGCAGCAGGCTGCAGGTCAGGCACTTGGCCTCGTTGTAGTCCGCAGGGAGGTCCTTCCCCGCGTAGCTGAGCGCAAAGCAGCCCAGGCTGAGCAGCACGTTGTACAGCATGGCGGCCGTCTCGCAGGGCGCGCTGCCCGCTCCGCACTCCAGCACCACGCGCTCGGCCGCCACGCTGTAACGCCTCCGCGGCACCGCGGGGCCCGAAGCCGCCGCCGCCGCGCACAGCGCCGCCTGCGCCGTTGTGCTGGCCGCGATGAACAGCGCCGGGCCGCCGCGCCGCTGCCAGGCCTCCTGCAGTGCCCGCCACCGCGCGCTCAGTTTGAAGATGCAGACGATCTGGAAGCAGCGCGTTGCCACACACGAGAGGAAGACGGTGAAGCTGACGGTGAGGAGCGGGAAGTGCACCAGGCACGAGAGCCAGGTGGGCTCCCCGAAGTTGAAGAAGATGCTGCTGCAGGCGCAGGCCAGAGCGCCCAGCATGAGGAAGCACATCTTGCCGCCCGCTGACCTGACCACCGGTGTAGAGACGTTCCGTGCAAAGAGGGCGGCCAGCCCCGCCGTGAGCACCAGCAGGAGCACAGTGGGGATCAGCAGCACCCAGCAGAGGGGATCAGCCCAGGACAGGAACTCCACGGTCCTGTTGAAGCAGCTCTCGCTCCCTACGGGTGCCCACTCGTCTCTCCCGCAGGCCTGGCAGGCGTACGGGGCTGGAGAAAACAGCACCCAGGTGGGGGCCACAGCCCAGGTAAGTGATTTGTCCTGGTGGGGCACCCTGACCTCACCCTTCTGCATCCTCAAGCACCTCCCAAGAGCTGCCTCTGTTTTTTTGCCTTTCCCTCAGTGCATCTAAGCCTTCAGCAGCAAGGAGTGTTCTTTTTCCAAAACACCATTGCTTGGGAGAGGCACAGTGACTTGGGAATTATAGGGCGTAGCATCCTGTGGCTGGAGCAGCACATAAAGGAGAGCCGTGGGCTGCATCGTGCCTGCTGGCCCAGAGGGACTCAGGTGAGTGGGACAGGGCTGCAGGGAGTATGGGCTGGGAGACAGAAAGGGGTTTGTGTACACAGCAGTAGTTTGCACTGGCAGTTCTCTTGCAGGTCAGAGGAATGGTGTCTTTTGGGGCTCCTCACTCCCACCATTACCCAGAGCTGGCATTTCTGCCACCCTCAGTGCAGACACACCAAGGCTGTCAGGGACCATGAGCACATGTTGGCAAGGCATTTGTCATGCTGGCTAGTGAGTCTGTGCCAGGGAAACCCTGCCATGAGCCCCAGGAAAGGGACATTTCCATATGCCCCGAGGACTGTGGAGCTGCCCGTGACCACACAGTGCGGAAGCACTGAGTACCATCTACAACACATAGGCAACACTAGGCTGAATTTCCCTCCCTGAGGATGTGGCTCAGGAAGCAGCTGTCAAACCAGACATCCCGTGTCCCCTGGCCACCGGAGAAGGGGGCTCTGCTGGCATCATCTCTGCTGGTAATTTGACTGCACGGAAACATCTGCTGACAGTATCCCTCAGGGCTGAGTGCAGGGCATGAGCTTTGCATACCCACAAGTAAGCAAACAGGGAAGCCAGACTGACCACATTTAGGTGAGCTCTGAGATTTTTTACTGCTCACAGGAAGTTAAAAGAAAAAGAAGTGGTAACTGTAAAGGCCAGGTGCAGGGAGAGGTGAGGCAAAAGCAAGGAACTGGTGTGATGGAAAGGAAGGGTGCAGATAGAGAAACTGAGCAATAAGGGGAGGGAGAGGCTGCCAAGGGTTACTGACCTGTTCTGTTCAGGAAGGTCCCTGCCGGACAGGCCACACAGCTGAAGCAGCACCTGTGGCGATTCTGCTGCAGCCTCATCTCCCCAGCTGCACAGGGCCAGGAGCAGAGTGAGACAGGAGCCTGCTGGGAGCACGGCAGCCATCAGGCAGAGGCCTGTGGGGCAGCACAGACTGCAGCCCGAGGTTAGTGAGCACTGGACAGCTGGCAGCTGGCCATCAGGATGGATCCTGGGCAGCTGGGAGCTCATTATGTTGTCCATTTTCTAGATATATTGGGAAAATCAGGTTGTTCGAAGGTAAAAATAGTTGGTGGGAGCCCTTAGGTTCATGTTCCCTGCTTGTTTTGTTGGCTTTTTTTTTTTTTTTTGACAAATGAATATTGTTATTCAGAATGTAGGTAACCATCTGTACCCCCCCCCCCCATCTGCCTTCACATTTCTTCTGCTCTGGGGAAAATACCCAAGAAGCAATGCTGGAGAGGTAGTTGGCTTGACAATAAATAAGATTTGAATGCAAAACTGTACCTGGTGATCTTTTGTGTGCCACAAGATTTTGCTCTGGTCAATGTGCAGCTGGTCAGGGTTCACAGTGAAAGCTCCAACCACATCGAAAGCCCAACTCTGGCCTCTCCAATTCCAGGCAATGATGTTATAACCTTTACGAATGTTCCCGTTGGCATCAAATGAGATCTGGCTCTTGTGCAGGCTGAAGTTCACCTGCTTGATTTTTTGTAGGAGCTGTAAGAAAGAAAAGTAAGAGTAGAGCCCTTCCTGATGACGGGGGAAGTCTTGTTTTCAGAGAGGAAGGTGCTAGCAGCCCCCTCTCTGCCTTCCTCTGGGGTTCTGTTGTACGCAGTACACGTCCAGCAGCAGCAGATCTCTTCCAGGTTTCTGCAAGGGACTACAGACAGAAGAATGAGAGTGAGCTGAGAGTGTGGGTTTGGATCCAGGCTGCTCTACCTGTGACAGCTGGAGCCTACAGGGAAGCTGCTGTGCAGTGACCAGAGGGAAGGCTGAAGGCAGTCTCACAAGGCTGTTGGCACCAGTTAAGGGAGAGCCTTTTTTGTGCCGATCCCACAGCCAGAGGCTGAGAGACTTCGAACTCTGAGCAGTGCAGCCCTGTTCTCTTTGGTGCAGAAAGGACTTTCAGAGATGGAAAACCCCTGAGCACAAGGGGAAAATCTCTCTCTGGAGAGGGAAGAGAGGCCTTCCTCACCTTGCTCTTACCTGCCAGGGATAGACTCTGCCTTTGCTGCACACCCCTGAGGTACAACCCAGCAGGTCATGGAGGCCGTGGGCCACCGCATACACAGCAGAGTAGACGTTGTAAGAGGCCTGAATGTCGTATACATCTGGGGTATCAGCAAGCAAGTGGCCTCCTGGGCAGTGCTGGGTGCAGTTCAGCTGGACTCCTTCACTGCTGCTCAGTCCATTTTCCCCCACCAGCCCTGTGCTGCCAGCACTTCCAGACACCCCACGTTCCTTTGCATTTTCCCAAGATTCAAGGCGTTTCAGCATTGTGGGCTCTGCCTGCTCAACCGAAATGCCAATCACAGAGCCGATATTTCGGATGCTGGGCACCTGCCAGATGGTTTGGGCTAAAGACCAGTCTTCAGAGCCCACCCACACCATTCCCGTGATGTTCTTCTGCACCACCGCCTCAAAGAAGGGCTGGGCATTCCTCCTGTTGGAGAAGACAACAGTGACGTTGACCCTGATGTCCACAAGGATTTGGATCAGCTTGTGGATCTCTGGGCTGCTGGCATCCTTGGTCGCAGGGATGATACCTCGGTAGGCAACACACACATCACTTGTGGCCAGCAGCTCGTAGAGGGCATTTAGCCCATCCCTACCATAGCTGTTGTCGCTGCCCACCAGAGCAACCCAAGTCCAGCCAAAGTGCTGCAGCAGCAGTGCAATGGCCTTCACTTGCTGCCCATCGCTGGGGATGGTGCGCAGGAAGGACGGGTAGAAACGCTTCAGGCTCAGCGTCTCCAGAGAGGCTTCGTAGCTGATCTGCAAAGGAGGCCAGGAGAGGGGGATGGCACACGAGGGGGGGGGGGGGAAATCTGCTGCCCGGGCAGGAGGGAGCAGCGGCACAGGGAGCAGAGCTCGAAAGCGGGGCCGGGGAGGCAGGGACGTTTTGGAGCGCGAACCCAAGCAACGCTAGAGCGCGTATTGCCGCCGGGGAGGGGGACCGACCTCCGGCACGAGGAAGACGCCCAGGACAGCGGCCGCGGTGAGCGCCAGCTGGGTGCTGTCGGGCCCGATGACGGCCACGGCCCGCGGCTCGTAGCGCTGCAGGGCGCTCTGCAGCTCGATGCGGTGCCGCCCCTCCCGGCCGAGGGCGCGCAGCGTGGCGTGCAGGTTGGCGGCCTCCGTGCAGGTGTCGTGGATCTCACAGCGCAGCGTGACGTTGGGGAGCAGCGCGCTGGAGTTGTTGATCTCCTCCACGGCGAAGCGCATCGTCTGCGCGAGGTGGTAGCCGTGGCTCTTGAAGGCGGCGGCCCTGCGAGCACAAACGGCGCGAGCTGCGGCAGGGAACGGCGGCCGCGCTCCCACGGCGGCTCCCGCGGCCCCTCGCTCACTCACACGCAGCAGCCGCGCGCCAGCGGCCGGCCGGGCCGCAGCCCGTGGATCTGGAAGAGCCCGGCCAGGCGGAACTCGACGCGGCCGCTGAGAGCGGCGGCGCAAAGCCGGGCGCACAGCAGCACCAGGAGCAGCATGGCGCGGGCGGGCGGGGCGGGGCGGGCGGCGCCTCTTGAGGGCGCGGGGCGGGGCGCGCGGATCTCGCGAGAGCGGCGCGGGCGAGGCCGCCATGCCGGCGCGGCGCGGCCGTCCCCGCCGGGCTCCGAACCGCGGCGCTGCCGGGGAGGGCCGCGCCGAGGCCGCGTGGCGGGAGTTCGCCGCCTCCTTCGCGCAGGCCGGCATGGTGCCGCCGGGCGGGGCGGGGCTCGCGGCCGCGGAGGCGGCGGAGGGCGCGGCCGTGCTGCTCCTGGGCCCACAGCAGGTACGCCGACCCGACCCCGCGGCCGCCGCCGCGCCGCCTCCGCCTGACCCCGCCGCGTCCCCGCCGTTCCGCAGGCGCTGACGTTCAGCGGGAAGTGCCGCCTCACGTGTCTGTATGGCGCCGTACGGGTGCTGGGCTTCGCCGTGGCTCCGCATCAGCCGCCGCTGCCGCTGCTGTCGCCGCCCACGCACTGCGCGCTGTCCCTGGAGGCGCTGCCCGCCGCCCACGCTGCTCACGCCGACCCCCGGCAGCTCCGCACCGCCGCCCGCAGCGCCCTGCGCGCCCACCGCGTCCGCCGCCGTGAGTTGGGGGCGCCGGGGGGGCGCGGGGCCGCCGCCGCCATTTCGCGGGCCGCCGCCGCCATTTCGCGCTCTCCTCCCCCCTTCCCGCAGAGGCGCGGCTGAAGCTGATGGCGCGGTTCTCTCCCGACTGCGCCGTGGTGCTGCTGGAGCACCTGGACACGGCCGTGACGCGCTTCCTGCTCAGCCTGCCGCCGCTCTGCCGCCTCTTCGAGCCCCAGGTGAGCCGCGGCCCGACCCCGCGCCGCCCCGACGGCCGCGCTGCGCGGCGCGAGGACGAGCCCGACGTGACGGCCGAGGCGGCGGTGCTGGCGGCGGTGGGCATCGTGCCCTGCAGCCCCGAGCGGGGCCTGCTGCTGTCCGACAGCACGCTGTGCGCCCTGCAGGAGCTGGTGCGGGTCTGCTGCGGTGAGTGCCGGCCGGCTGCGTGCTGCTGTGAGCCGAGCGCGCCATGGCGGCCCTGCAGAGCGTTTGTTGTGTTCTGTGCTAGTGGAAGACGAAGGCGTTCCGGTCATCATGGTGTGCGGCCCTAAGAGCATCGGCAAGTCCACGTTTAACAGATACCTGATCAACCTGCTGCTAAACCAGTGAGTGTTCCCGCGCTCTGCAGCTCCTTAAATGCTGTGTGCGAGCTGTGGGGGAGGGAAAGCTTGCTGCCAAAAACCGTTTTGTCACTGCAGATTCATGGCAGAGCAAGGTGTGCCTTTCGTCTTGGCCGCTGCCTGCTTAGCGTAGAGGTTAGAGTTTATAAACGTGCAGTCAGTGTTCTTAGAGTGCCCAGTTAACATGGAGACAGGACAAACTGATTGGTACCGCCTCTGATTTATCATTCTGACTGCTTTCCTGAGGACTGGATGGGCGCAGAGCTATTACAGTATAAGCACAAGATCTGCAGTGTGGCGTAGGAGTGCCCTTTGAGTCCTTGTCTCTGTCATTCCCTTACTTGAGGGAACGTTGCACAAGTGTGGTTTGACTGTGTCCAGTTTAATTCTGATGACCCAGAACAAAACCATATTTTGCTTCTGCTGTATTCAAAGCGGTGTTCTTTTTCTTCTCAGTGGGTGCTAATGCATGGGCTTCTTTCGCTGCAGCCTCCCCTCTGTTGAGTACATGGAATGTGACATAGGGCAGACTGAATTCACGCCGCCCGGATGCGTGTCTTTAAGTAACGTAACGGAGCCGTTTCTCGGTACGTGCCTCGTGCTTCCTGTAGTTGGCAGAAACGTCTGACGTTCCCAGAAGGTGCTTTTTGGGTATGGGCTGTGTGTACTTCGGGGAAGTCGCTACGTGTGGCAAAAGTGCACATAGAGAGTAAAAGGCCATAAAAGTTCTCTTGCTGAGGGCATCTGAGCTCCACGTGCAAATCTTAATAAGTAATGTGCAGCTGTTCCCTTGGTCTTTCCTCTGTGTGTTAGCAGAGAGAAGATAAGTGGGAGTGCCAGAGATGTGCTTTCATTTCCAGGCCCACCATTCACGCACCAACGGACGCCGCGTAAGATGGTGTACTATGGGCAGACCAGCTGTGAGCAGGACACAGAGAGATACATCGATGTGGTGAAGTACGTGTTCAGCTCCTACAGGAAGGAAGTACCTTTAGTCATCAACACTATGGGCTGGGTGAAAGGTAAACAATGAATCCGTTCTGGAGGGGTGGTGCAGAGGGAGCCTAACAACCTGGCTGTGTATCGCCTCGCTCTGCGGAGTCGGGAGCGTGGAAATGGAGCTCACTCCACGCAAGCTGTTGTCGGCCTCCTGTAACAGCGTTCGGACTCCTTAGCCTGGTGACAGTAGCTGTGTATTCTCTGCTCCCTGAAGGTGAGGGGTTGCTGCTTCTGACTGATATGATCCGGCTGCTGTCGCCCACTCACGTGGTGCAGATGGATGTGTACGACTGGAAGGCCATGGCTCCGCTCACCCCCGAGAGCGTCCATCTGGCGCCCGGGCTGTACACCAAGGGCAAGCAGCGAGCCAAGGGCGAGCGGATGGACCTGAGTGCAGCAGAGAGCTGGAAGTGCTCTGAGGGGGAGGAAGATGCGTCAGCTCCTGAGTATAAGCTGCTCTACGTCCACCCTGAATTCCCTCGAGCTGGGGCTGCAGGTGAAGCGTAAGTGGAAAATGAGCGTTGTGTGGTTCTTCATTGGCTCGGCAAAAGTACGCTTCGTCTTGATAGTAAATGCATAGCAGAGAACTGTCATGGTAGCCTTCAGAGCCCATTGATTGGTCAGAGCCCGTGAGGCTGTTCGTTCTCTTGACACATTTGCTTGGGCTTTGATTGAAGTTTTTGGAGGAGATTGTTGAGAGCTTTTTCATTTTATTTTTGAGTAGGGGAAGGTGTGAGGACCAGAAAGGGGATTATTTGCTCCTTCCTACCCTACTCCCAGTAATTACTGCTAACTGTGCAGACTTTTCACCAAGTGCAGCTTCCAATTAGAACTTGCACTTCTTCATTTGCTGTGTTTATTTTTTCTAGGCGCGTGCACAGCAGCATCTTACGTGACATGTCCATCCTGGGTTACTTGGGGCAGCTGCAGCCCCCAGATGTGGCATCCGTCCTGCCGCTGCACAGCCTCGTGCCATATCAGGTACGTGGGCCTTCTGGAGGGGTGGAAGGTGCTGCAGGGGGTCTGGCTGTTGGGAATTGAAAGTTGTACTGGAACGTGTTTTGGAAGGTGGGGGAAAAAGTGCTTTGTAATCCAAGGTAATCAGCTGATTGGTGTTTTTAATTAAAAGACGAGGTTTTTGTTACAGTGTCACTGTGGCACGTCTTCTGTGCGCTCTGTTAGTGCTGAAACTGTTGTGCTTGCTGTAAGGTCTGTTTGTAGAGGCGGTTGGTGGCTTTCTAGTTGGGTTCAAGTTCAGGGTAAGTTAAGCACACAAAACTGATGCTGAGCTGTTGACAGCATGTTTCTTTTCGTTCCTTTCTTCCCCCTCAGGTACCTTTTAATGCTGTTGCACTCAGGGTTATTCACACCGATGTTGCTCCTACCAACATCATGTATGCAGTGAACGCCAGCTGGGTTGGGCTCTGCAGGATACCAGATGAAATCAGATGCCAAACTGCCGGGCCAGTGCTGCTGACACAGACACCCATCTGTGATTGCCTTGGCTTCGGTGAGTGGCGCTGGGAAACCTTAAGCCGTGTTCTCACGTGTTGTATTTTGAGCCGTGTTGCAGAATGGTGGAATTATCTTCTCTTTCCAAAAGCAACTGGAAAAGTAGGATTAGGTTCACGTTTCCCAAAGCGGATTCTAAGTGTGTTGCACAAAATGTGTGGGCCAGGTTTGGCTGAACCCTGTGTTTTTCAGGAATTGTCCGAGGGGTCGACATGGAGAAGCATCTGTATCACATCCTGACCCCGGTGCCTCCTGAGAACCTGAGAGTAGTGAACTGCCTTCTGCTGGGAAACATTGCTATTCCAAACTGCATTTTTGTCAGCCAGGTAGGAGCTGCCTGGGAGGAGGGTGGAAGAACTGTTGTAGGGTTAATCTTGCTGGCAAATTCTTGCTTTCTGTGAGGCTTGCACGTGTCCAGAGCTGTCTGGACACAGCATGGTCGTACCCCTGGGAAATTGCCCTTAATGCACAGAAGCAACCAAGAGAACATTCATAGTTTTCAGATATCAACATAGGGTTGGTTCACTGGTAGCTTTCTCGTATTCATCACTAAACGCTGCTCTGTTTTTAAAGGGAGGTGCCTTCAATTGAATCTGTGAAGCTGTTCTACTTTTTGGTTTTGTTTTTTTCAGGAAGGAATTGAGGGAGAGATCCCTTATGTCACATCCGAGTATAACTACAGCATTTTGGGGTCTGGGAAGCTGAGAAAGAAGAAGCATTTCCAGAAGAGGGAATGCACGTTCCAGTGTGATTACACTTGAAGCCTTTGGACTGCAGGATTTGTTTTGTACGGCAGGAGGCCTGGGGTCCACAGCTGCAGGAGACCCCAAGCAGCTGATCTGTAGATACGAAAACATCATTTTTAACAGTATTTTATATTTTCAGTATGTATTTTGGTGTTTTGTAATAAATGAGTTGAAAAATGGTTTGAGTTCCTTCCAAAGCCTGCAGGGATGCGGATGTGGCTCATACAACACATGGGTGATTGGCAGAAGCTCTTAATTAAAGCAGTTGTGCTCCTCCTGGCTGAAGCTGGAGCTCAGAGGAGTGTGAGCCCCTGCGGCAGCTGGGTGTGAGCATAACTTCACAGTACCTTAATACTGCTTTACTCGTGGTTTTAAGAGCGGGTGCTGATCTTCCTCTTGCCCGTTTTCTCCTGAGTTTTTGGTGAGCTCGATGCCTCTTCGCTCAGACTGCAGGTGGGGTGGTGGTGCGGCGGAAGCAGCGATGCTTTGGAGAGGAGGGGGGAGATGGATTGCTTGGGCTTGAAAGCCTCGAGTGTAAGTGCAGGTATCGTTATGTGGAAAGCTCTGTGGGGCGGGGAGAGGCACGGATGTGGAGAGGGATGCGTTACGTGCGTACTGCGTGGGGCAGCAGCCTGAACCCCAACGAAAAAATGGAAACCAACGCACCGACGGCACCGGGAGGACCGAACGGAGCTCCGCGCGGCGAAGAGTTAAAGCTTTAACTTAATCCGGCTCTAATGCCGCCCATATGGCTGGCTCCGGCGGCGCGGGGAAGGCTCGGCCGGCACGGCGGCGAAAATAAATACGGGGCCATCTGTGCGGCGGGGGGGGGGGGGAGCACCGGGAAAGGTGAGACGGGGCCGGGCCGGGGCGGAGCCTCCCGCTGCGGGGCGGCTGCGGGCGGGGGGCGGCGGTGCGGAGCGCGGCATCGGCACCGCGCGGAGCGATGAGCGCTGCGCCCGGGCGCGGTTCCGTCCCCGCAGCCGCCTCGTCCTTCGCCTGGGGACGCGTGAGTGCGCGGGGGGTGCGGGGCGACGTCCGGCCGCCGCCGTTCCGGGGGTGCGGAGGGAGGGGCGGCTGCGGGGCGCCCGCCGGAAGGGCCCGGCCCCCCCGGGTCCCGCCCTGCGGTTCGCCGATCCTCTGCCGGGTTCGGGCACGCGCTGCCCCTCCTCCGCCCCCAGCACGTGAGCGGGGGTTGGGGCCGGAGGAGCTGTGCCCGCCTGCGGCGCCGTCTGCTTTGCCGGCCGCGAAAGCTCGGGAGCGGCTTTTGCCTTCGTCCGCTGCTGGCGAAGAGTCCCGGAGGCGGCGGAGCTGCGCGCAGCGGGCGGTGCTGGCTGCGGGCGGTGTCGGTGCTGATGAAGCTGGGCAGGAATTGCGTTCGCCTGGTTTTTCCGCGCAGGTTGTCCCGTTTTAGGGAGCTTTGCCCTGCGCGGATCTCAGCTGCCTGGTGTTGGAAAGGAGAAAAATGAAACTGTCGGTCTCCACGCACGTGTGCTGCGTCACCGCCAGCGGCGCTAGGGAGAGCTTGCCAGCGAGGAGACGATGAGGCTGGAGCTCATTCCTCGGGACGGGTGGGCAGAGCCGTTTCGGTGGTGATGAGGTCCCCTCCTGTTGGGCTCAGCACCGCAAACACCCGATCCTGGCTGAGCGCATCCCGGGGTGCTGCTGACCCGTCTGCAGTGGCCGCTGCCAGCAAGTGTGGATGGTTTCACTGATGGGGGTTCGGCTCTCTGTGTGGCCGAGTTGGCGTTTGGAAAACGTGGCTTCACGTAGACAAAGCTGTGGTAGTGAGGCCGGGAGGGAGCGCTGGGAGGGCTGTGCCGTGGATGCAGGGCCGTCCCAAAGGCAGTCAGGTTGGGGGGCTCAGCCTCGGCCCGGCTCCTGCCTGCCACCTTCTGTGCCTCGCCGGGGAGCCGGGGCACGCGGCTGCTGGCTGTCCCAGCTCAGCACTGCCGCCACCGGAGCTCCTGTGCGGGGCGTGGGGCGGAATGGTGTGCAGGTTCCAAACCCGGGACCCTGCTAGGAGCTCAGATGTAGGGAGAAAATTCCGTTGTGTGAGCCAGGGAGAACTGCTGTAAAGTTGTGCCACAATCTCAATGCATGAATTGCAGCCGAGTGCTGAGCGCAGGGCGGGGGTCCGGAGCCGGAGCTGTGCTGGTGCCGTGGGGCGATGTGCCCACCCCCAGAGCTGTCCTCACTGCTGTGCCCGTCCTCCCCGCAGCGCTCAGCCCCCAGTGCCTGCAGCGTTCCCCCCCCCGGCCCTGTGCTGCCGGAGCTGCCGAACAGCCGCGCTCTTCATGCCGATTATTTCAATCACAAGCGTGTCTTGTCTCCCCGGCCGAAATTTCTTTCATAGACGGCGGAAAGTGAAATTTGTGCAATGTCTGTAGGAGGCTGAAGAAAGGCCCTTTGTGCGCCCTGTGCGCGGGGCATTGGGCAGCCTCCAGCAGCACCCTCCGCCACCCCAGCGCTCCCGGCTCACGGGATGAATGCTGCGCTTGTCCGGAGAGCGGGACCTGCTCTTAAAGCCGGAGCCGGGCCCCCTGGCCAGTCCCACCGGTGTGGGCACGGCTCGGCCGAGGCAGCCCCCTGGGTGCCCCATGGTGAGGGCAGGTGCCGCGCTGCGGCCGCACGATGTTCCTGTACTGGAAGAAGCGGGGTGCGTACGAGCTGGGGGCTCTGCCCCCCGCGCTGGCGGGCATGGAGTACGGGGCAGTGGAGCGCTTCTCCTGGAGCTCCAGCCTGGACATCAGCGAGCAGCTGGCGGGTACGTCATGGGGCTGGAGGGCGGTGGCGTGGCGAAAACCCTGCACAGAGACAGAGGGACTGCTGTGCGCGGGGAGGCTGCGGCAGGGCTGAGAGCAGGGATGCCGCGGTGCAGCTGGGGAGCACCCAGAGAGCTGCCTGCCCGGTGCACCGCAGCTGGCACGCAGGTTGTGAGGTCCCGGTGTGTGTGTGTGAGCCCCTGCTGCCGGTGGTGGTGTTTGGGAAGGACAGTGGCAGTTTGCAGCGTGACCTGGTGTGGGGCGGCGGGGCAGGGGGCTGCTGTCACCGTCCTCGTGGTTTTGGTGAGTTGGGAAAACTTCCCTTCACCAGCCTGAAAGAATTTCTGATTTGTTTCTGTTATTATTCATAATAGGTCAAGTGAAATGATGGTGGTGGAGGGGCCAAGCAGCCTGGCGGGCGCTGTGGGGTGGCGGTGGGGACAGAGTGCCCATTGTGCTGCTGCGGCGTGGGGCCGGCGTGTGGGCAGCGGGGCCCCCCGGCAGCCGCACTCCTGGCTCTCTCCCAGGGGCACTGCACCCAGGGGTGCCCAGGGGGGTCCTCATGGAGGTGCCCTGGGTCGGTGTGAGCACGGCCCCCACACTGCCCCACAGGAGAGCTCTCACTTCAGCCCTGGTGCCCGCCGGTGTGCCGCGAGCTGCCTGGAGTCTGTTATTTTTAAACTATTAGGCACGACACATAACAAAAGCTTTCAAAATAGGATTTGTCCTCAAGGCCGATTTAACTGTTAGAGCTTAAAGCAGACCGTAAGCCCCTTTGGGGACTGGCGAGGAGCAGATTTAGCACTCCTGGCACTGCCCTCGGCCCGTGCCTCTCCTGGCAGCTGGTGCAGGATGATGCCCCCAGGCCCTGCTCTCTGCTGTGGCCATCCCAGCTCTGCTACCCGTCGGGAAATAAATTTCCATATTACGACAGTTTTGGGGCTTTGGACCTGTTCCTGTGTTTGCAGCAATGGGAGTTTGGGGAGCGCGCTGTGCATCATCACTAGCAGCTCTCAGGGCTGCCGTTCCCATCCAGGGGCAGCTCCCAGCCCCCCTCCCAGCCATGGGCAGTCCTGGCCTTGCTCAGCCCTGTGTCTGGGGCAGCTGTGGGACCCCTTCTGTGGGCAGCATGTGCCCAGAGTGGCCCTGGCACTTTGTGACAGGGAGCAGGAGGCAGCTGGTCCCAGTGCTGCGGGTGCATGCTGCTCTTTTCTGCTGGAGAAGCTGGAGCCACAGCGCTGGGTTCTGGGCATGGGGACATGAGGTTTGGTGCATCACCGGGTGCTGCCGCCGCTCACTGGGGCAGGAGGTTGGCAGCTTCTGCTCTCTGCTTTCTGTCCAAAAGCTGGGCGCTCACTGTCAGGGACTTGTCTTCCTGCAGGGGCCATGGGGCAAGAGCAGTGGGGCAGGGTTTTGCGTGAGGTTGCAGGGCCCCATGTGTGCACCCAGCACTAACCCCAGCTCTCTCCTGCAGATGAGCAGTGCCCAGCAGAGGAGCAGGGGCTGCGTTGCCAGAATCCCGACTGTACTGACAAGAGGAGGGCGGCTAAGGTAGGTCATGGGGTGCCGGCAGTGCTGGCAGCTTGGGCTGTGCCATCAGGAAGGCAGCAGGCATGCTGTCTTGGTGCAGATCTGGGCAGGTGGAGGCTCCCATGGGCTCGCCCTGGCTCCCAATGCCTCTGGTGCTGGCAGAACCGGTTGGTGCAGCTGGCTGGCAGGCAGCCATGGGGCAGAAAGCCCTGTGCCGGTAGGATGCGGCTAGGTAGCAGGGAAGGGCTGCAGCCACTTCCCACATGGTGGGAGCTGCATGTGGCACGCATCCCTCGGCAGCATCGCGGTCCCGCTGCCCGTGTGTGCCTGCAGGCTCGTGCGTGGCTGGGATTTAACTGCGTGGCAGCAGCTTCCCTGTTTCCCCACCTGCCGTAATTCAGGCTAATCTCATTGAGCCCGTCTGTCCTGTTCCTGGTGGGAGCATCGCTCGGCAAGCCAGCACAGGCAGCGCGGCTGTGCCCAGGAGGGAGGGAACCTCTGCTGCAGCTCTGCTGCACACCGGGGCTTGGCAGCAGAGCTACACAGGGCCCCTCCAGGAGCGGCTGCGTTCATACTTGCGTCCATTGAGGCATGTGGAGGGACGGGAGCGCCGTGATCAGGCTGGGAAGTGCAGGGCTCTGGAATTAAGCAGAGCCTGCGGCTGGAAGCGCCCCATGCCACCTCTCCTAATCTTGTTGATCGCTAATGTAAAGCCGGAGTGGATTTAGGGCCCCTTATCTCTGGCTGCTCGACCTGCTGGCTCGCTCCTGGCTGTCCTCGCTGCCGGTGCCGTGCTGCTGCTCTGCTCCTGGTGAGTGCTGGGTTCCTGCTCAGTGCACCGAGGCCGTGCTGGTGGGGAGGGCGTGCAGTGCTCAGCCGTGCGGTGCGATGCTCCCGGCCTCGGTGGGAAGGGAAGCGCAGGGCGATTGCTCCAGCAACAAGAGCGATGGTAGTTGGGCCCTGGAAGTCTGACAGCACCACCGCAGGCTTTTATGGTGAGCAGATGAGCTCTGTTTTTTGGAATGAGGCACCGCTGCCTTTTGAGAGCATCAGGGAGGAAATAACGAAGCGGTGGCCTTTCAAACAGTGCGGGTTTCAGGAACGCTCTGCTCTCCTGCTCCTTCCAGAGCCGGGCTGTTTCCTCAGCCCCCCAGCGCTTCAGACCCTGCAGTGCAGGCAGTGGTGTGGGCACCTGCCTGGGGAGGGAGCGCGGTGTGGGCAGAGCGGGGATCAGGGGAGGCGAGGCGGGCAGGCAGGTGTGCAGTGTGGGTGCAGGCGTGGCGTGTTTGCATGGGTGGAGCTGCTGGGTAAACACAGCGCGGGACACACGTGGCACCGGGCTGCGGCCTCGTGCCAGCACCACCGGGAGCAAGCGGCCGGGAGCCATCGCCAGTGTTGGATGGTCGGATGGGGCCGAGCGGGACGTGCAGGCGGGCAGGTTGGTGAGCAGTACGGCTGCGGTGCTTCGACCCTGCAGCCCTGGGCTATGCCTATGGGTTTGGGTTTCCCTTGGCATCCCTGCGGTGGGGGCAGCCGAGGCGCGGTGAAAGCAGTGTGGTGCTGGGGGCAAGTGGCCCCATTGGGGAGCGCGGGCGGCGGGCCGCGTCAGCATTGACCTCAGCAGCGCCGGGAGGAAGGAGGGCAGGAAGCGGGGGCGGCTCGGGGTGCACCGGCGCTTCCTCTGCCGCACAGTGGGGCCGCGCTCCTGGGATGCCACACCGCAGCCTTTCTGCTCGTGGGGTGGCCGTGGGGCACTGCCAGATGGGGACGTACCTCGCGTGTGGGCTGCCAGCCCCCGGCAGCACCCCAACCCCTGGCGCAGCCCCCAGCAGGGGGTCACGGGCTGTGCACCGCGCTGGGGCTGGCCAGGGGTTTAAAAATAAATGCCTGTGAATGCCCGGCCGAGGCTGAGGCTGGGCGCACAATCGGAGGAAATGCATCGGCTTGCAAGCATTGTTTTGCTGCAGACACTTGCTTCCTCCGTCCTGCCGTGGGGACACTGATCTTGCAAACACAAAAGGGCTCTGGAGTGGCCCTGCAGACCCCTGAGAGCACAGCAGGTCCTGGTGCACCCTCAGCCCAGCATGGGACATCATAAATGGGCGCGTGGGGGCCAGGTGCCCCCAGTGCCTCCAGTGCCCTCTCTCCCTCCATGCCCGGCTGTGTGCAGCCCTTCTGCTGCAGTCCCAAGGCTCTGAGGGTCTCTGTGCAGTGCGGTGGTGATGGGGAGGGGGCTCAGCACAGCCCATAGGGGGTGAGGGGGTCTCGCTGCTGCTCTGTCCCAGCCCACAGCTGCACCCCACAGGTATGCCACCACGCCAAGTGCCAGCAGCTGAACCGCAGCAGCCCGCTCAGCCTGTGTGAGGCCTGCGACGGGCACCTGCACGACACCATGCACTTCGATGGGCACATCCGCTTCGACCTGTCCCCACCAGGTAAGCCGGGCTGGCTGCACCCTGGGCCCTTGGTGGGACACAGCAGGGCCAGTGGGTTCAGCTCAGCCTGGCCCCAATGCTCATTGACAGGCTCTATCCTGGCTCGCAACGTGTCCACACGCTCGTGCCCACCGCGCACCAGCCCTGCCTCCGACATGGAGGATGACGATGAGGGACCGGCAGACGGGAGGGGGTGAGTGCATGTCCCAGCCCTTCCTGCAGTTGGTGGGACAGAGTGGGTGTCTCTGTGTTGCCAGCAGACCCTGCAGGACACCTGGCTCACTCTGCCCATGCCTGCAGGGACAGGAGAAGCTCGGCACTGAAGCTGCCCAAGAAGAAGGCTCGGCGCAGGCACACGGATGTAAGACACCATCCCCCCTATGGGGCTCTGCTGTGGGGTTATGCTGTGGCCACATCCAAGATGGGTGGGAGCCCTTTGTGAGCTGTGTGTCTCCTGCAGGACCCCAGCAAGGAGTGCTTCACCCTCAAATTCGACCTGAATGTTGATATCGAGGCAGAGATCGTGCCAGCCATGAAGAAGAAGTCCCTGGGGTGAGCTGCCTGTGCCAGGCACAGCCCTGATGGGCACACAGACCCCACAGAACCCATAGGGATGGTATCCCACAGGGACGTGCTGCTGCCGGTCTTTGAGAGGAGGGCTATTGAGCACAGCAAGGTGGACATCTACCTGGACCAGTCCAACACACCACTCTCCCTCCAGTTTGAGGCGTACCGCTTCGGGGGACACTACCTGCGGGTGAAAGGTGTGGAGGGGGGCAAATATAAGGCCAAAACAGGCACCACGGGGCTGGGGGCTCTGACAGCTCTGTGCTCCCGTAGCCAAGCCCGGGGATGAGCTGAAGGTGGAGCAGGCGGCACGGGATGCACGCTCAGCCAGCCTGCCCATCCTGCGCCCCGCCAGCACCGCTGCACTCCTTGGGACAGGGCTGGAGCCAGGGCCGGGCCGCAGGGAGGGCACTGACATCCTGGTGAGTACCTGCAGCACTCTGCGCCTCGTGTATCTGGAAAGGTGGGGGCACACCAGAGCAGTAGGGCGTCTCCTGGTTGGCTTCATGCAATGGGGGTGCAAAGCCCCTGGAAGCCTTGAGAACAGGCTCAGCTCCCAGCAGTGCTGTGCTGTGCCAGCGGTGCCACATTGCAGCGTGGGCAGTGCCCTGCACCAGGCGTGGCAGCTCAGCTGGCAGCCCTGCAGCTGTGCCACGTATGGGCTGGTACCTGAGCAAAGCAAAGCTCTACGCCCCAGGGCCCCATGGCGGTGAGGCTGGCACTCCTGGCCAGGATGTGGCCACTGTCCCTCCTCGCCTTGGCACCTGTCAGCTGCTGTGTGCAGCCTCAGTCCTGCCCTGCGGACCCAGATAAGATGTGGGGCCGGATCTGCTGCCACTCCCCGTAGGAGCTGATGCCACGCTCGTGTGGCCACACAGCTCCCGCTCCCCAGAATTTGGCTCTGGGGATCCCAGCGTGGGGACAGCAGCTCTTAGCTCTCTGAGCCAGAAGCCCCCGAGTGCACTAAGCTGGCTGTGTGGCCGGGGCTGGTGGCTGCCCGCATCCGGCAGTACGATGCCTGGCAGTGGGACCGGCACTGCGCTGGTGGGGCAGAAGGGATGGCGGTCACAGGGCCACCTCCACAGCCGGGTCCCCGAGGGCAGGTGGGAGCAGAGCCGAACCAGGGCAGCAGGGCCAGCGTGGGCCAGGGCGCCTGGAGACGCCGTGGCACGGTGAGATGTGGGGCCGTGCTGGGGCAAAGTAGAGATTCTGCAAGGCTCACTGGGCTGTCACGGCTCAGGGACAGTAGGTCTCTGTGCCACGCAATGGCCATGCTGCACTTTGTACCAGGTGAGGAGAGGGCAGCAGCCACGTCGTGGTGTGGCCTTGGCAAGGGGCTGTGGGGATGTATGAGTATGGCGTGAGCCGAGTGCCTGGGCAGGCGGGTGCTGTGTGGCCGGGACCCAGCTCCGCTGCGGGATGGTGGGCTTTGATCTTTGCCAGCGAATTGTTCGGGTCTGTTTAGCTTATCTGGTGAGGAGGGAAATTAGGTTTTCTGCGCTGGCCCCACCTCCTTTTGTTCGGAGGAGCACAGCCAGAGCTGCCTGGCTCTGCGGTTCAAGTTCAGAGCACGGCTGGGCGGTGAGGGGCTCGGGGTGCTGCACCCTGTGGGATGCGCTGAGCCGCAGAGCCCCTCTGCCACGGGGTGTGGGCACAGGACCGGGGCACTTGGCCCCCTGTATGCAGGATGCAGGTACGCAGGTCAGTGCGGGTGCGGGCGCAGCGAGCTCATGTCCCGTGGGGGCCTGGCTCTGCACACCCTAGAAAGGGGTCGGCTATGGGGTGTGGGGGACACATCAGCAGGGGCAGAGCGTGGCTTTTGGGGGCTGTCCCTGCGCTGTGAAGTGAGCAGGGCTGGTGCTGACCTGCGGCACTCATTGTACCCATGCAGGCTCCGGGCAGGCGGCGGAAGAACATGACGGAGTTCCTGGGGGACGCCAGCATCCCCAGCCCTGAGCCATCCCTGCATGGCAGTGGCTCTCTGCCCACCAATGGCACCGACACCTGGAAGAACCGTGCTGCCAGCCGCTTCAGTGGCTTCTTCAGCTCCAGCACCAGCACTGGCCCCTTTGGGCGGGTAGGTGGGCAGGGGAGGGGTGTGGGAGTCGTGGTGCTGTGCTGGGGTGGTGGTGGGATGAGGTCCTGCATGGCTGTGCCCCGGATCCGTGCGCAGGGCCAGCAGAACTGTGGCATTCTGCCACTGTCCCCAGCCCATCTGCTCATGCCTTCCAGCAGGAGGTGGACAAGATGGAGCAGCTGGAAAGCAAGCTGCACACCTACAGCAGCTTTGGGCTGCCCAAACTACCACCGCAGCTCCGCTTCGACCAGGACTCCTGGGAGGAGGATGGGGACGACAGCAGCCTGGTGCTAGAGGACAGCTGGCAGCAAATCATTGAGGGCACGGAGGTAGGGCTGGGGTTGATGGCGGTGCTGGCCGCACTCCTTGGATGGTGAAACACTGACGCTTGGCCCTGCAGGCCCTGACGCGCCGGCAGTGCCACCAGCAGGAAGCCATCTGGGAGCTGCTGCACACTGAGGCCACCTACATCCGAAAGCTAAAGGTCATCACTGATGTGAGTGCCCATGGCCCATGTTCCTCAGCCACAGGTGTCCCCCATACCATGGCTCCTGCCCCACGAGCTCCTGCTCTGTCTCCACAGCTCTTCCTCTGTTGCCTGCTGAACCTTCAGGAGTCAGGGCTGCTGTGTGAGGTGAGTGCACTGTGTATTTGGGGCTGTGCTGTGGGGTCTGGGGGAACAGCAGTGTGGTGCATAGCAGGGGTCCCCCAGCACGGTGGGTGCATGGGGATGTGACCCACGGCGACTCCCCGCCTCCCCCCGTAGGTGGATGCTGAGCGTCTGTTTGGCAATATTGGGGAGATCATCCAGCTGCACCGCAGCCTGTGGAGCAGCGTCATGGCCCCGGTGCTGGACAAGGCCCGCCGGACCAAGGTGCTGCTTGACCCCATGGACTTCCTCAAGGGCTTCAAGACGGTGAGTGCCAACCCTGTGCTGCACCATGGACTGTGCCAGGCTGTGCCCTGCAGTGACACCTCTGCATTGCCCGCAGTTTGGAACGCTCTTCAAGCCCTATATCCAGTACTGCATGGAGGAGGAGGGCTGCATGGAGTACATGCGCAATCTGCTGCGCGACAGCGAGCTCTTCCGTGCCTATGTGACGGTGAGGGGGGCGCAGCGGGGCTGGGGCCGGGGCTGGGGCTGGAGCTGACATCTGCGTGTTGCAGTGGGCCGAGAAGCACAAGCAGTGCAGCCGCCTGAAGCTCAGCGACATGCTGGTGAAGCCGCACCAGCGCCTCACCAAGTACCCACTGCTCCTCAAGTCCGTGCTGAAGAAGACAGACGATGCGCGCACTCGTGATGCCATCCTCACCATGGTAAGGGGCACGGCGTGGGGACGCGGGCAGGTGGGCAGCCCAGCCTCTCACCCCTGTGCCTGTGCTGCAGATCGGCTCTGTGGAGCACTTCATCAACCACGTCAACTCGCGGATGCGGCAGCGGCAGGAGCAGCAGCGCCTGGCCGCCATCCTCAGCCGCATCGATGCCTATGAGGTGGTGGAGGGCAGCACGGATGAGGTGGACAAGGTAGGCTGGGCACAGCGTGGCTGCAGTGCTGTGCTGTGTCCTGACCTGTGCTGACCTCCCTGGCTCCCTGCAGCTGCTGAAGGAGTTTCTGCGGCTGGACCTGACGGCCCCCATGCCCGGCACCTCCCCAGATGACACCCGGCAGCTTCTGCTCGAAGGCAGCCTGAAGATGCGGGAAGGTAAAGACAGCAAGGTGAGGATGGTGGGCATGGGGAGCTCATCCCTCGTGTGTGGGCTGGCACCCATGGCCCTGCTCTCACCTCCACAGATGGACGTCTACTGCTTCCTCTTCACCGACCTCTTCCTCATCACCAAGCCTGTCAAGAAGGCTGAGCGCACCAAGGTGATCCGACAGCCCTTGCTGGTGGACAAAGTCATCTGCCGGGAGCTGAAGGACCCGGGTGAGTGGCACCAGGGGGGAGGGGTTGCACCCTAGGAAAACATTGGAAGTCCAAGCCTCACAGCTCCTCATCCACAGGCTCCTTTCTCCTCATCTACCTGAACGAGTTTGGCAGCGCTGTGGCTGCCTACACCTTCCAGGCCAGTGGGCAGTCGCTGTGCCGCAGCTGGGTCGAGGCACTGCACAATGCACAGGTGAAGACACCGCGTGGGGGGGGCGTGGGGGTCTCGTGCCCACAGATCCCTGACACCTGCCATTCCCAGAACCTGCTGCAGCGGCTGCGGCTGCAGGAGCAGCAGCGTGGGCAGTGCCGGCGCCTGCAGGAGGAGGAGGAAGATGAGGAGGATGGTGAGAGCAGCACCTCGACCGCCAGCTCGCCCACGGTGCTGCGCCGCAGCAGCACCAGCCTGGACTCCCAGCAGTGGTACGAGTGGGACAGGGGCACTGTGACCACGTCTGCGGCGCAGCCTCCTCCTCACCTTCCCCTCTTCCGCAGCCCCTCGGACGGCTCCACCGACACCATCTCAGTGGTGGTGGTGGACGGCGGCGATGAGCTCTCCTCCCCAGACTCAGACGTGGGGCCGTTCGGTTCACCGTCAGACAGCACCTCTGTCAGCACTGGTACCTCTGTCAGCACCGCCACCGGCACCTCTGGCAGCACCCCAACCCACGAGCTGCCCTCTGGCAGCCTGCCCCTGCCCCCCAGTGCCACCGCGCAGCCTGGCAGCTTCTGCTCGGCGTCCATCGACAGCGCCTACGGCACACTCTCACCCGCCTCACCACGGGACTTTCCCCGGCAGCAGGACGTAGGGGCTGAGGAGGAGCCAGAAGCCCTGGCCCCACAGCCCCCCTCACCCCGGCTGCGCCGTCAGACGCCCGTGCAGCTCCTGCCCTGCAAGGCCCGAGTGCTCAAGTCCAAGTCAGAGGCCAGCCTGCTTCAACTGCTGGCCGGACCCCCTACCCCACTCAACCAGAGCCGGAGCCTCTCTGACCTATGCATGGCCCCTCCTGCTCCCCCACTGCTCCAGCGGACTAGCCGTTCCCCAGAGCTCCTGGCCCCCGGTGCCAGCAGCAGCAGTAGTGGTGACTCCACTTCAGAGCTCTCAGAGCCGGAGGAGCCCATGGAGCCCCGTGTACCCACCATGGGCCAGCCCAGCCACAGCCCTCAGCCCCCTGCCCACCGCACGCTCTCAGACTCCTCCTCAGCGCAGCACCGCAAGCTGACGCTGGCACAGCTCTACCGAATACGGACCACGCTGCTCCTCAACTCCACGCTGACGGCCTCGTATGTGCAGCCCATCCCCTCTACGTGCCATGTGCCAGGCCCCACACTGACCAAGCTTCTTTCTTTGTTGTGCCCTGCAGGGAGGTCTGAGAGCTGCCGGGGCAGTGAGGATGAGGATGGACGTGCGGCTGCTCCAAGAGCTCTTCCTGCTTCTAACCGTAGCGTAACGTCGGGGCTGGGCAGAGCGGGCACCCACCAGCTTGTGCCAGGATGTCACACGTGGGGGACACAGAGCAGTCCCATCTGGGAGGATGCATCCCGGCAGGGCAGCACCAGGCTGCCCATTGCTACCCAGGGGTGTCCGTGTGGGGCTGGACATGGCGCACAGTGTGGTCATGGGGCTGCGCCTGGGGAGGCCATGGGCTCAGCAGCTCCATGCGAGGAGGAGGGATGGCGACGTCGGCAGCGGGGAGTGGGGAAGGTGTGAGATGGCTGCGGGGTGGGCAGCACAGGGCTGCTGGCATGTGGGGCGGGAGGCGGGGGGTGGCGAGACGAGGGGACAGGGCTGAGCTGGGGCTAGCAGTGGCCACGGGGTCTGGCCAGGGCATGGTTTGGTGGCCAGGGAGTAGAAGCGTGGGAGCTCCTGTGCTGGGCTGGTGGGGAGCTACTGCCTGTTGACACAGCCCACACCGGAGTGGGATGCCACTGCAGAGTGCGTATTTATTGAGCTTCAGGCTGTCCCTGTAGCAGTGCTGCCTGCTGGCACTGGGAGGTGGCGGTGGCTGCACTGTGGGCATGTACTGGCCGTGGCACCTGTGCTGGCTGCGGTGCGGTCCAGCCAAGCAATAAACCTCGCTGTGTGCATGCTGCGCCCACCTCGCCTCTCCTTCGGGCAGCAGCCAGGCGCCGTGGGGTGAGGAGGAGCAGATGCAGAGCAGATGCCATGCAACGCTCATGGAGCCAGCCCCAGCTCTGTACCCCAGCTCGGGGGTTTGGGTCACGGTGCAGCTCTGCCTAGCAAAGCAGAGGATGCTGTGTCCCCCCTCCAGGCTGTGTCTGTGCTGCTGGGGGGAATGGGAGGGACATGTTGGGCTGGCACAGGTCTCTCCTGCGCAGTGTTCCTGTCATGTGCTTTCGAACCCTCTGGTCTCATTTCCAAAAAAGCATTTCCTCCTGCTGTGGTCACATATAAAAGCCTGCTTGGGGAGGGCTGGTGCTCATTCATCACACGTCGTGCAGCAGCAATGGGGTGTGGGGGAACCCGATACTGAATCTCCCCAGCACCGGGAACCCCATGCTCAGTTGTGCCCACCATTGCCACACGGCATGACCCAGCTGTGCCAGCTGCAAGGATGAAGCACCGCTGCCCAGGGGTGGCCTCGGTGAGTGTGGGGGGGCTGGGGGCCTGCTGGCTAGGCTGGTGTGGCCCTGGGTGCCCAGAGCAGGTGGTGGCTATGGGTGGTTTCAGTGGAGGGGGTGAGAGATGCACTCGGCAACTTGCTGTGGGGTCCACGTCCCACGAAAGCGCTCACTGTCTGAGCTGTGCTGAACACCTGGAGGCTGCAATCTGCCCTCCCGCAGCCTGAGCCAGGGCACAGCAGTGGGGCTGTGGGTGGGATATGGTCGCAGGGGTGATAGGTACGGTACGGCCGTGGGGATCACAGGCACAGCCTGTGGGAAGCACGGGTATGGCACAGCCCCAGGGCTCGGCACGGCCACGGGTGCTGAGGGCACAGCGCAGTCACCGGCAGCATGAGCGCAGCCACAGGGACGGTGGGCAGAGCACGGCCACAGGACCGTGGCCAGGCTGCGCTGAGAGCCTGCGAGCGCGGCTCAGGGATGCCGTTGCAGCCCCAAGCACGGTGGCAGACGGTGACAGCGGGCTGGCTGAGTAGGTGGTGCCCCAGCCTTGCGGGGCCAGGAGCAGAGGCTGCAGACAGAACCGCGTTACGGGTAGGGGCGGCGCTTGAGCGGCACAGGAAGCGGAGGCCCCGCTGCGTAACCGGTGCCGCGCAGCAGCTGCCCGCCAGGCGCGGGGACGGGGCGGCACACGCGTGCAGGTCGGGCCGCGCCGCGGGGTGCTCGTGCCCGGCAGGGCTGCGCGCTGACTCAGACGTGCCGCTGGCTGCTGGGCTCCTTGTTGTGGTGCGGCCGCCCTGATGCGATCGCAGCGTTATGCAAATGGCGCAGCCTGGGCATGGTTTCCAGTCCGGCGGCGGCGGGTTTAATAGAAAATGATTCAGTCCTTGTAATCGGGGTGATCTCGGCTGGGAAATCCAGCCCCCGGCAAGGAATCCCCTGGCTCCCTGCCTGCCGTGGCCGAGCAAACGCTGCTCGCATCGCAGCGCCGTGTGCGGCTCCGGGACCCCAGCCGGGCTGCGGGTGGTGCAGTGAGGCAGGCACCCGCTGTGCTCCCCCCAGAGCTCCCCTGCACTCAGCAGCCGGCGCCCTGCGGGGTGGCGGGGGAGCAGTGACCTACTTTGGGACGCACGCATGAAGTGTGATAGCATCGGGGACAGCGTGAGCTGGGCATGGTTTCCTCTCAAGGAGGAAATCGCCTCATCTGCGAGGCAGATAAAAACGGAGGAAAGTGGAGGGAGGCGTTAACCCTCCCGTGCCCTGAACTGCACTGTGTGGGGCTGAGCACTGGGCAGGCTGACGGCATCTGGAGGTCTGAGCTCCTGTGGGCAACGCTGGTCTGCCTGAGCCCAGCAGGACGACCCGTGTGCCCACACAGTGTGTGCCCTATGCTGAGGTCAGGAAAGCAATTACTCAGGGACCAAGGGGAAAGCCCGGCACAGGGGCTGCCCTGGGGCATTCCCAGCCGTGGGGCTGTGGGCTCGGGGCTGCCCCTGGCTGTCCTGCCCTGCTGCCAGCCCTGCAGGGCACCGGCATCTGCTTGGCCTAACACCCTGCAGATTGGGCTTGGCTGGGGCTCAGGTGCCTGTTGTCCATGGCTGGAAGCCCAGTGAGTGCGATGGCCCAGCCCTGCTGCCCTGGGATGCTTGCTCTGCACCCAGGCTCTCTGCAGCCTGCCCTCTCCCTGCCCACAGGTGCTCCTGGCAGTGCTGTGGCTGCTGGCCAGCGGGTCACAGCCCCCGGGCTGCCAGGACTGTTCCATGCTACGCAGCCAGCAGGGCCTGGTGCTCCCATCCAACCGCACTCGGAGGTCCACCATAAAGTCCTCCTGCCCCTCCGGGATGAGCTGGATCCGTTCAGTTGGTCGGTGCTGTACCCAGTGTCCCCCAGGTGAGAAGCGCCCAGCTGGCAAGGCACCATGCACCAGGTGTGTCGCTTGCCACGGGCATGGTGGCATGGCCCTGCCTGGGCATGCAGCAGTGGCCGTGCTCATTGTCTCTCTGCTGCCCACAGGGACATTCCTGCAAACCCCCTGCACGAGCCATGGAAACGACAACGTCTGTGTAGCCTGTCCCGCCGGCACCTTTCTCTCCCACCCCAACACCCGCCCCAAGTGCGATGCTTGCTACACGTGTGACCATCAAAGTGAGTCGGCAGTGTGCTGTGCCATACTGTACTACATTGTGCCACGCTGTGCCACGCTGTGCTTGTGCTGCCCTGCTCACCGCCTGCCTCTGCAGCTTTCCAGACTGTGGTGAGCAACTGCTCAGCCACCAGCAATATCGCCTGTGGCTGTGAGTCTGGCCACTTCCGTGAGTGCCAAAACAAGGATGATTCCTGCAGTGAATTCTCCTGCAAGAAGTGCAAGACCTGCCCTGGGAAGCTGCTTCTGCAGCCCTGTGAGTGTTTCCACCCAGCCCATGGGATGCCACCTGCAGGGCTTCCACTGCCCTGACATGCACCCTCTCCCCAGGCTCAGACAGGCAAGATGCACAGTGTGGGAGCTGCAAGCCCGACTTCTATGCCGAGGGCAGCGAGTGCCGCCCGTGCCGCATGTAAGCAGCTCCCGGGGGGGGTGTGCTGGCAACAGGCACAGTGCCCACCATCCCTCTCCTTGCAGGAGCACCCCAGAGACATGCGGCGAGGAGTGCCAGCGGGTGTGCGGCCACCGTGCCCCAGGTGTGTGAGGTGGCGAGGCTCGGGGTGAGGGCAGTGGGGTGGGGAGCAACCAGGGGACAGCAGTACTTCCTTGCAGGCTCGGGGCTGGAGTACATCCTGCTGGGTCTGACCGGGCCCCTCTTCCTGGGTGCCCTTGCCATCTATCACAAGCGGAAGCGGCTCCAGATGGAAACCCCAGCAGTCAGCTCTCTACCTACAGTCTCACCCTGGGACTGCTCTGGCCCCACAGCCTGTATGCACCCCGTCACCCATAGGGCTGCAGCAACAGAAGTGATGCAGTGCCAGGTGAGTGCCTGCGGTGGGGTGGGTGGCTACCGGCCACGGTCGGGCGGTCTGCACTGGACCTGGCCAAACTCTCCGGACAGGTGTGGGAGCCTGGCTCCAGCATGGCGAGGAGGAGCTCCGAGTCCTCGGCCTTGCTGCACCAACAACCCAGCAGAGCAGCATTGCCCAGCGGCACCACAGAGCCCTCGGTGCCCAGCACAGCGCACAGCCCGGCCCCACCACTCAGCAGCCCCCAGCGCTGTGCCCTGCTGCAGGGCAGCCAGCTCTACGCTGTCATCAACGCGGTGCCGGTGCGGCGCTGGAAGGAGTTCATGCGGGTGCTGGAGCTGCGGGACACGGAGATTGAGCTGGTGGAGATGGAGGTGGCCCCGTTCCGCGACCGGCAGTACGAGATGCTGAAGCGCTGGTGCCAGCAGACCAGTGCCACGCTTGACCGCATCTTCGCCGCCCTGGAGCACATGGACCTGTCAGGCTGCGCTGAGACACTGCGCCAGAGCCTGGCACTGGGACCCTGATTTCATGCCTGCAGTGTGGTGACACAGCCCCAGCGGCTGCCCCACAGCCCTCCTGGCTGCACTGTGCCCCCTCAGCAAAGCGATCCGGCGCACAGAGTGCCCTACCCCTAAGTATTGTTACTTATGCTGTGTAGACATTTTATGTCAGTTATCTGGACTGCTGGCTCAGGCTGCAGGAGCAGAGCAGAACTCCCCTTCTGGGCCACTCACCCCCCCCTATTTATGTCCTCCTGCTCCCGGGATCCCGTGCTGCTCGCAGGACGAGCAGGCACTGAGCCCGCTGCAAACCCATGGGATAGTTCTCGAGGCCGCCCAGCTGGTGCACATGGGTGGGCCTGCCCCTGCCCCAATAAAGCAGTGTGTTCTCCACCCCTTCGCACCTGGCCCTTCTTCTGGGGCTGCTGCTGGCCCCACAGCACAGAAGTGGGGCCAACTGGGCTCCTGGATGGGAGCACCATCGGGGATGGCACTCGGGTGGCACAGCACAGCACAGGCACCACAGGAGGGCAGGAGGGGCATTGCGGGCAGCCCCAGGAAGGCGCGGGGCACCGCAGGAGGGGATTTATTGTTTTAATTGCCGAAACGCGGAGGGTCTGGGTCAGACGCGGGCCGGAAGCCTCCCTCTAGCGGCTCCGGAGGCGGAGGGAAGGAGCGCGGGGAGCACGCAGCGCGCGCCGATTGCACGGCAGCCCCCGTGCAACGCGGCTCCAGGGCCCCGTTCTGTGAACGGCAGCGTCGGGGGCAGCAGGCGGGGGCAGCGGGATGGGGCCACGAGAACCTGGGCGGTGGCAGCGGGCGCTCCTGCGGGGCGGGTGAGGTGGGAGCGCCGGGGGCCGTTGGCGGCGGGAGGAGGGCGCGTGCGTCCCGGCGGGCACCGGGCGCGGAGCGGAGCCTCGTCCCACCGCTAAGAGCCGGGGGCAGCGCGGGGCGTGACGCTGCTGCAGGGAGCAGGGCTAGTGCTTCGCTATGTCCCCTTTCTTGAGGATGATCTGCCGCTGCCAGGGCGCCAGCTTTGTCTCATCGTACCCAAGAGTCCTTAGCTTTTCTGACTGCTCCTTTTCCTTCTCCTCCTCCTCTCGCTTCTGCTTCTCTTGCTCTTTCCTGCTCAGCAGCAGAGGGGTCAGGGCGCCGCGGGTCGCTGAGCCCCCCAAGCATACCCACCCACCCGCCAGGAGAAGGGGACGCATGGCACTCACCGCTTCTGCTCTCTGCAAAGGCAAAGGGATGAGACACCATTAGTGTGGGGCCAGGGGCAGCTACCCGGCACAAACAGCCCCCACCTGCCCCGCTCACCTCTCCTCCTCCAGCTTCTTGCGCAGGATGTCCCTCCTCCAGGCCGGCATGCTGGCCAGGCGTGCCTCCTCCTCCTTCTCCTGCAACAAACAGGCGCGTTACAGCCAGCCCCAGGCGCACAGCCGGGCTCCACAAGGGAAGCAGGGATGTGCCGGCTTCTGGGCAGCAGCCCTCCCACGGCCATCACCCCCGGGCACGCAGCTACAGGGAGCACAGGCACGAGGCAGCACGGCACTGATGGGATGCAGCTCTATGGCACTATGGGCACGGCACCAGGTGGGTCCTGCTGTCCTGGTCCCCTCTGCTGTCTATGTTACCCCGGCACGGGGAGCACGCGTGACCAAGGACCGTGCGGAGCGCTGAGCCCTTCACAGCACACACAGCTTTATTGCACGGACACGTAGGGGCCCACGCTGCCCCGGCACTGCAAACCACACCATAGGGGAGCAGCGCTCCAAGCACAACACACAGCCACAGCAAGTGGCACACAGCAACCTCAACACACAGCCGGCCACGGGACCCTCGAGAGGTCTGGGCACCTGGGACTTCACGGCACAAGGCCAAACCCGGCAGTCCTCAGAGCCGACCCGCAGCCCTGCCGCCACGAGAGCAGCAGGGCAGCCGAGCCGTGCAGTGCACTGGTCCTGCTGCTGCCTGCACCCAGCTGCATGCCCAGCTCTGTGCTCAGCAGCCCCACGCCTTCACCACAGCCCTGCCGCCGCAGCACCCTGTTCGGCTCAGATATCAAACATCTCTGCTTCCTTCTCCTTCCAGAAGGAGAAGCTGCGGTCGATGTAGCGGCAGATGTCCTCATCGCTGAACTCTCCCAGCTCTGAGACCAGCTGGGCTGGCTCCTGCGTGCTCCGGGCTGTGGCTGCTGGACAGGGAGGCACAGGGCTCGATCCCACTGCTGCCACTGTGTTGGTGGGGCTGTCCCCAAAGAACTCCTGCTTGAGGTCCTCAAAGCCATCGAGCCAGCAGCGGTGGCCAGCCTCAACCCGCTCCAGTGCGGCACGGTGGAAGCGCCGGATGCACTCCCAGCTGTGGGTGCTCAGGCGGTCAAACATCTCATAGCACAGCAGGTGCCGGAAGCGCCGCTCCTCGGGACTGAGGTTCATCTCCAGCAGCTGGAAGTAGCCCAGCATGAAGAGGTCCAGTGAGAGGCTGTCGTAGGGCATGGGCGAGCCTCGCACGTGGGGCAAGAAGTGCTCGGGCCAGTAGAGCACTTCAGCACGGCTCAGCCGCCGGATCTGCCGCCCCGGCACACGGTGGGCCACACTCCTCCAGCGCGCCAGCAGCCTTGCCACTGCCTGCCGCTGCTTCCAGAGCCGCCGCAGCCGCTCTTCCCCGTGGGTATGTGAGCCCGGTGCCTCTGCCAGCGCCCATTTTTTCCAGTGCTCCAGGAAGAGGGACACAGCACGCTCCTTGTGCGCATCGATGCGCTCCTGCAGGCAGCTCAGCTCTGTCTGCACCGGGCGGCTCCGTCGCAGCATGCCATCCACATCCTCATCCCCATAGTCCTCCTCCAGGACGGGCTCACGGGTGCAGCCATCCATCAGCACACCGGTGGGCAGCGATCGCTTTCTCTTGGTGACCCTGGCGTGGGGCACAGGGGCTCCCACCAGCCCTTCGTAGTTGGCCTTCAGGCTGCGCACTGAGACACCGCAGCGCAGGATCTCGTGCCGGGCATCCTGCTGGGTGCTGGCAGCAGCAGGAGGGGGCCTCTGCGGCACGGTGCTGCTCGCTGCTCCCCCTGCCCCAGAGCTCTCGCGGCCTCCTAGGGCAGCCAGCAGCATGGCCATGCTCCTCAGCAGCGCGGAAGTCTTGCTGCACCAGGCGGGCAGGTCCTCAGCACGGCCCTGCAGGCGCCGGGGATCGAGGGAAAAGCGCTCGGGGGCCAGAGCGGCCGAGAGCGGCAAGAGCTGCTGCAGCTCTTCCTCCAGCTGCTCCAGCTCTGTCTCCACTGTCTGCACCTTATGCATCACCTGTAGGTTTTCAATTTGCCTCTCAATGCGGAGAATGTCCTCCTCCGTCATGAGCTGCCCAAAGGGTCCCAGCATGCCCCCGTGGGCAGCGGAGTAGCGCCAGCACGGGGGGGGCGAGACGTTCCCAGGCTCCAGCTAGGGCAGGAAAAAGGGCAAAACAGCTCCTGAGGATGCACCCCACAGCCCTGCACATGCCAACCCCCCAGTGCCAGGGTCCAGCAGGGAGCCAGGACCACGCACCAGCAATAACCACACGGGATGAGTGCTCCGGAATGGGTTTGTAGCCAGGCAGGGTGCATGGCACCCACGGCACACATGGTGAGGCCATCTCCTGCATGCAGCAGGGCTGAGGCCATCCCAGCACAGGAGCCAGAGCGATGTGGTTCCACACCATGTCCACGAGCCAGGTCCTGGGCTGTTCTCACTGCACACAGCTCGCGGGACCCCACAGCAAGGCCCCCCTACCTTACGCCGCTGCTCCTCTTCCTCCTGCATGCGGAGCTGCAGCTTGCGCACCATCACCTGCCGCTTCCACTCAGGGATGGGCCGGCCCTGCTCATCGTGGCTTGGCACCAGAGCTTCCACATCTGGTGGGGCCATGGCCCCCGGCCCTGGCACTGGTGAGCTCCCATTAAGCACTGGCTCTGGCGAGCCCCCCGCCATGCAGCGTGGTGGCCCCCCGGCCTCAGGGGTGGCTGGTGGGGTGGGAGTCCTGGTGGGCGATGGGGAGGATGCTGGTGAGTCAGCCTGTGAAGGGAAGGAGGAAATGAGTGCTTGCTGTGCCCCCACCCAACCCCACAGGTTTTGGGGCACCCACAACGTCCCTCTGCCCCCTGCCACCTACGTTGGCCCCTGCCTGCCCGCTGCCAGAGAATACGGTGGTGAAGCCTTTGCTCTGTGGCGTTGGCTTCAGGCTCTTCCCGGCCTTGATTTCAGCCAGGAGCTCCGAGTTGTCGCCGGTGGGGGACATCATGTTGAACGACTTGGTGCCTGGTGAAGGAAGGCAGTGGGCAGCGCGGGCCCTGTGCTGCCAGCCCCTGCCCGTGGCTGTGTCAGCCAGAAGCCTGTAGGACCCCATCAGACCAGCACCCAGCATCCAACTCCCCGGAGCATTCCCAGCCCTGAGCACTGCCTACAAGCACAGCCCTGTGGCACCGTGCTGCAGCGCTGTGACCGCACAAACAGTACGGCTGCCGGCAGCAGCACGGTAGGACAGCCCTGTGCTACCCTGCAACCCCCTGCAGTGCCCCAGCAGCCGGGGGCCAGCACCGTGCCCTGCGAGCACCCACCGTCCATGCCAGCCATGCGTGCGTCCCTAACGGCCCATGGTGCCACACCAAGGCAGAGCCCCTTCCCCACCGCCCCCTGCTCGCCCGCTCGGCTGCGTAGCGCCGGGGCCTGGACGCCTGTTGGTGCTGCGGGCACAGCCGGGAGCTCGCAATGCCATCCAGTGCCGCTGAACCCCCCAGCCCCCGGGAGCCAGCGTTAATAAAGCAGGCGCTGAGCTGCTGCCAACCAGCGCGCTGCAATCAGCGGCGGGGGAGCGGCCGGTGCACTCACGTGGCGAGGTAATGCCGGCCGGCTGAGCGCAAACAAAGGCTTTCTGTGCACAGGGCCGTGGGGGCCGCAGGGGGCACGGGGCCCTGCCAACCCTGCCGGCCCCACGCTCCGTGCCTGCCCCAGCCGGAGCCGTGTCAGCGCAGGGCCCCGGCTTGGCATTGCGCAGCACGTCGCCCTCGTGGCCTGGGACACGTTGGCTGGGTTGCTCCATGTTGGGCTGCAGGGAACTCGCCCTTGTGGCCATCGGTGCTGGGAGAGGTCGCGTGCCCACAGCACCACGTGTGAGCGCTGCCGCGATGCCAGGCTGCCCCACTGAGGTGCCCTGCTCCCAGCAAAGAGCAACAAGCTGCAGTACTTACTCTTCATCTGTCTCAAGGCTTTTCCTTCTAGAGGGAGAAGAAGAGAGGCGGCACAGCGCGTGTAGCAGAGGAAGGATTTGGCCACCACAAGACAAGAGAGAAGAGAAGCAGCCAGCAGTGAGAGCAAGTGGGGGCGGGCAGGCGTGGGAGCCCCCGCGCCGAGACCGGAGGAGAGAAGGACAGAGAGACCGTCAGGAGCCGCGCCGCGTGGAGCGCAGCGTGGTGTGAGGAGAAGCGCGAGGGCGGCCGGGAGGCAGAGCCACGATCCCGGCAGCGCGGTGCCCGGAGCCCCGACTTACTTCCAGTGGAGGAGGACGAGCGGCGGGGGCCAGCGGGCGGCGGAGGCGGAGGGGGCGGCGGGCAGGCGGCGTCGGGCAGCGGCGGAGGCGGTGGTGGAGGCGGCAGCTCGGTGCCAGGCTTGCTCTCCACCGGGCCCCCATTGTGCATGGCGTCCGCAGGCAACAGAGAGCTCTGGAAGAGCGCGGGCAGGGATGACGTAGGGTTGGGGCGCCGCGACGCACGCAGCTCCGGGGCCGCGCTCACCTCGCTGTGCGCCATCCTGCACGGGCCGGGCAGCTCTGCCGCGCTGGGCCCCAGGTGCTTGTAGTAGTCACCTGTGCTCGGCTGCTTGCTGAAGTTCCGTGACCGCCGCGTGGAGTCGGCCCTGCGCAGGCCCTCGGGGCTGCCCTCACGCGACACCAGCTGCAAAGGGAGCACAGCTGAGCGGTGCGCAAGGCGTGACCCTGGAATGGCCGTGGGGCAGAGGCCGGGTGTGCACCACGGGCTGGCGGTGGACCCTGTGGGTGCCTGGCACCATGACCCCGTGCCCAACGGCCCGGCTGAGCTTCCCCTGGGATAACCCCCTGGGAACAGAGTGCCGTGTCCTGGCCCCGCAGATTAGCCAGGAGCTGGAGCTTATCCCTGTGGCCTGGAGCCCCGCTGCAAACCTGGCAGTCAATGTCACTATTAAGGCAGCACGGCCTCAGCTCACCCCTCTGCATACCTCTGGGACTTTGCAGGCCGTGCCGTGTGGCACAGTGCTGTGTCTGCTGCTGGGCGAAGGGTCCCACTGTGTCCTGCATCCCACGCCCCACGCTTTGCTCTCAGGGCCCCACTATTTGCATTTCCCTGCGTGCCACCTCCACCCAAGGCGTTTGCATGGCAAGCCCGGCTGCTCCGTGCAGCCTGCAGCCTCAACTAACTCAACAAGTGCCAGCTCGGCGCTTCCTGCTCCACCAGGCGCTGAGCCAAGCCTGGCTCTGGCCCCAGCAGCCCCAGCCCCAGCCCCATGGGAAGGTACAAGGGTTGGTGCTGCAGGACCGAGCGGCACTCACGCACCCAGCACCGGCTGTACCCTGGCTCACCTACACCCCATGGGCAGCCCCAATTATTAGCCCCAGGTAGGGCTGCTCATTAGCCCCGGTTCTTCCAATGAATCCTGTGGGGAGCACGATAGGGAGCTGAGCCCAGAGCAGAGCTGGTACACACTGTGATACCGAGCCCCCAATCTGCCCGCCGCTGTGCACCAGGACCCGTGGCCGTGCTCTGGGCCCCCGCCCCCAGCCTGGTGCTGCTGTCCAAGGCCAGAGGACCCTGAGCCCCCCGCACCCTGCACCCCCCCGCCCTGGGCGGCTGCACCCCTCTTACCTGTGCGTCCCGCTGAGCCCTCTCAGCTCCTGGCAGCACCAGCAATGCCACCCGACACCTGCGGCGCAGGTGACACCGGAGCCGGGCACTCAGGTTACAGCTGCTGCTGCACCCCACGCTTCCGCACAGCCACCCACGCCCAGCTCGCCCAGGGACGCTGCATCGCTGGCACCACTGGCACCACGTGGGCTCAGCACATGCTGCCCACATGGTACAGCATGCTGAGCTGGCACAGCCAGGGCATCAGAGCCACCCGCTGCCACAGCGACATTGGGGCACCGTTGGCCCCAGCTTGCCACGCTCCCCTGCAGTTAGTGGTTCTCACAGCCCATCGGTGGCTCGTCCCCCCTGAGCTATGGGGGCCGTACCTCTCTGCGCAGCGCCTGGCTTTCCACGTGCCGCAGGTTGTTCTTGGCCCGCACGTAGATGTCGGCGGTGTCGGGGGCAACGGGCGGTGCAGGCGCAGGGTAACCGGGGGGTGGGGGAGGGGGCCGGGTTGCAGGGGGGGGTGGTGGTGGAGGGAAACTGGGGGGTGGCGGTGGGGGACCCTCGCTCGCCAGTCCTCTGCCCCGTGGCCGTGTCTCAGGGTTCAGCATGTCCATGTAAGCCTGCATGTCTGTGAGTGCCGGCTCCGGGACCCCTGCGGGGGGGAGGGGGTGTCACAGCACAGCTCGGCCCATGTCCCCCCTGAACCCTGCCCCAGGCACTCACGGGCTGCAGGGGCCGTGTGGGGGCCGCCCCTTTTCTCCCCCGTGCTGGACTGGCTGGAGTTGCAGGAGTCGTAGTTGGAGAGGGTGCTGGCAGGGGAGCCAACCTCAAACCTCGCCTGGGGCACCGATGCCGTGGTGTTGGGTGACGACATGCCCGAGTCAGGCTGACGGCACTCCCCATCTGCTGAGGGGTCTCGTGACAGCACGCGGTGCTCCATGCTCTGCGGCACAGAGAGTGGTCAGACAGCCACACCCAGGTCCCGCACGGCCCCCACACCCCCTGTGCTCTTGTCCCACATCCTAGCACGCCATGGTACCATGTTCTCCACGGTGCGCAGGTACTTGGCGCAGTGGATGTGGCCATTGTAATCGGCGAGGTCGGCCGCCGTGTAGCCATCCTGGTCGCGGATGCTGAGGTCAGCGCCGTTCACCACCAGAATCTGGCAGCACTGGAAGAGGGGGCACAAGACAGGGCTGGCGCAGTGCCTCCTACCCCTGTGCCCCCCCAGTTGCCAGCACCCACCTCCAGCTCGCCATTCTCAGCAGCGTCGTGCAGCGGCGTGCCGCCCCATCCGTCTGCCGTGATCTCACCACCGTGCAGCAGCAGCCAGCTCAGCACCTTGGCGTGGCCGCGGCTGGCAGCAAAGTGCATGGCCGTGGCTCCGTCATCATCCCGCTCTGACAGGCTCACTGTCGTGAAGCTCATCTGTGGAGCGCAGCGGTGCCGTGCCATGCCGTGCCATACCGCACCGCGCCACCGTGCCGTGTCCAGGCAGCACTTACCAGCCAGACGATGACGGTGTTGTGGCCCATCTGGGCTGCAGCATGCAGTGGGGTCATGCCGTCGTTGGCGCGTACGTGGGGGTCGGCCCCGCAGTCCTTCACCAAGTATTGGATGATCTCGAGGTGGCCCTCCTGGCAGGCGAGGTACAGAGGGGTGGCACCGGTCTTGGTCTGGGCACTGAGCGTGCTGCAAGCAGAGCACAGTGCCGGGTGCCTGCAGCCCCTCCGATGGGAGCACAGCAGGCACCGGGACACGTGGGGCACTGGGGTCGTGTGGCCGCAGAGCACAGGAGTGTGGGATTCACAGTTATGGGGGCACAGGGGATCTGTATGAGGACGTGTGGTCACAGAGGATGTGTAGGACACGAGGGACATGTGGATGTGCGGGGACATGAAGTCACGCGCCTGGGGACACGCACAGCACAGAGCAGACAGGGCAGTGCTGGGACCCTTCCACCCCGCAGCCCCACACAGACACGGCGGCTGCTGCGGGAGGTCACTAAGTCAATAAGCTCGGGCTAATCGCATTCCTTTGGCTGTTTTTGGACACTGCAATCTAGCAGTATTTTTAAGTAAGCAGCTTAGGCACCTGCAGCCAGTGGGGAAGGGTGGAACTGTGCGATGGCACTGCCCAGCCCCACTGCTGGGCATCGCATCCCCTTCCCGTTGGGTGGCCCTTGACACTCCATGGCCTGAATCCCCCATCCCACATTCCCACCCCGCATCCCAAATCCTGCAGCCCTGCTGTGCAGGAAGCTGGATTTTTTGAGCGCTCCACAAAACCTGTTGAATATTTAAAAAAGGAAGAGCAACAAATACTCCACTCTGTTATCACACAGATCGCGGGCCTTTAATAATTGATCCCTGTAACCGTGAGACGGTCCCAGCCGGCACCGGCCCCATGCTGTGCCATGCTGTCCTGCTGAGCACTGCACTGGGGACAGGCCTGGGGGTTCAGCAGAACCCCTGGGAGGTGGTGTAGCCACGTGGTGTGGGTGCACTTGTTACGTTCCCAATCTCTAATCGCCATTTCCCAGTTACGAGGGGAGGTTAATCCATTCTGGTGAGCGCCGGCTGGCAGCAGGGAGTGCTGTGCCAGATGGCCACCACCTCGCATTGCTGCCTGCTTTGGGACCAGCTGCTGGGAACCCACAGGTGGCCAAGCTGCAGTGGGCTGGGAACCACAGTTTGCCCACGGCAGTGCTGGGAACGCCTCACAGCCTCCACACTGGTGCTGCAGAGCCCAGCACGCGCCCACCCGAACTGCATCCACATCCCACGGCACCCCAGGATTGAATTTCACAGCTGTAACAGAGCCTGCTCCGAGGCACAGGGCGAGCAGTAAATAATTCAGGGGCCACCGCGGCAGGGGAAGGCAGCTGGCAGCAGATTAACCCCAGCAGGAACGTGAAACTCAGTGCAAAAGGGCCGCTGCTAAGAGCGCTCTGCAAGAGAACGGCACGGAGCTGTGAGGGAACAGGGCCTGGGGTGGGGAGGGTTGACTCATCTGGGCACGGGACGGCACGGGTGCCTCCACTGCGCCAGCACACCTGGGGCAAGGAGACAAAGGGCAGGGCAGCCTTGCTGGAGGAGCTGCCTACAGGTCAGGAGAGCGCTGCTGGGGGCGGTGCTCTGTGGGCTGGGGTCCTGCGCGAGAGGAAGGCGGGAGCGGGGCTGGGGGCAGCACGGGTCCCTCGTGCCCCTGAGCCCAGCGCGGTGTGGCAGGGCTGCACGTCCCCACGCCCCCCCCCTCAGCCGGGGCCCCGGTTATTTATAGAGCCTCTGCCCACCGTGGGAAATGAGATTAGGGCCGCGTAATCGCATCGTGAGCCCGGGGTGGCTCAGCACGGGGCGCTGCGCTGCATCCCCAGGCACGGCCTCGGGGAGGGCTGCGCAGGGGGTGAGGGCAGCATGCGGGGCCGCGGCGGTGCCGGGCATCGTGCAGCCGCGGCGTCCAGCGGTGCCCGGCCCTGCGCTCCTGGAGGCAGCGGGAAAGGTCGCCTCTCCTCCGCGGGCAGCTTAATCCATTTACATAACGGAGGTGGACAAAGGCGGCTGTGTTATCGCCCCGCGCCACGAGCGCAGGGAACAAACCGCGCTCCGTGCCGCCCGCGGCCGCGGGCAATATTTCTGTCAGCGCTCGCTGCGCTCCTCCTCGCCCTTTTTCTGCGGGTGATAAAGGAAGCGCAGCTGTGTGCCCAGGTGATAATGCTGCCGCGTTGCCCTTGGAGCTGTGCAGCAGGGGGTGGATGTGGCCGGCTCCCAACGCTGGCGCCCTGCCCAGCAGCCGAGGTGGGGGGGTGGCAGCGGGGCCGCCCCAAAGCCTGAATCCTCCCTGCGCTGCCGAGCTCTCAGCTCTGCCCCCAGCCTCCCAAGGGCAGCAGGGGCCGTTACCTTGGGCAGTGTCCTAAGAGAAGTCGCAGGGAAGGGAAATCCCCTTTGGCCGCAGCATAATGGACCGGCAGCGCTCCTGTGTCTGTGGCTGCCGTAGGATCGCTGCCTCCGAAGCGGAGGAGCCACTCGATCACCTCGTGGTGACCGAATCGGGCTGCGAGATGTAGGATAGTGGCACCGGAGTTGTCTGTGTCCTGCGGGAGGAAGGGGAGAGGCCGTTGGCACTCGGGACAGCTCTGCACCTCCTGCGAGGGAGAGCGTGTGGGGCTGGGGGGCTGAGAGGCTTCATATGCAGCCCTGCAGATCACGAGAGGATGGCATTGGAAAGGACGGCAGAGGATCCCGGGGCCGTAAGCGTGCCGGTTCCCCGGGGGCCTCAGCAGCGGTTCAGCAGCCCGGCGCTGCACAAAGCCCCGCTTGTTTTGCCGCGGGGCTCGCTGCTGCCCCGGCCCCGCTGCCCTCCTCGCTCCACGGGGCACAGAGCTGAGCTGGCCTAGGGCCAGAACGGCGCCGAACCGTGCTGAACCCGTCCTTCCTTCCTGCTTAATCACCTCTCCCACCCCTCCTCCTCCTCCTCGTCACATGTTGTTACCTCTCAGCCAGCCCGGGGCAAGCTGCTTATCTGCCCCAGGGCTCGCTCCGGTTGTATAAGCCCGAGAAGGTACCGGTGCCCCCGGGTCACAGCGCCCGGACACCCACCCCAGCCACCGTCCCCTCCTCGGGGCTACGTGGCTTTGTCCTGCGTGTGGCGGATCTGCCGCCCCGAGTGCCGCGCAGGCAGCTCCCACCCGCACGCAGGACGAGGCCCTCCGCCGTCGAGCAGCGCAGAGGCTGCGCGTGGCTGTCCGCCCTCGGCAGTCTGTGCGTGACCTTGACGCCGTGGGCAGAGCCCTTCACGCAGACCCACGCGGCCGGAAACGTTGCTTCCCCCGCCGGACCGCGGCTGTGGAGCTCCGGCTGCGCGGACGCCCTTCGGGGCGCCGATCTCTGCTCTGCCCCGCAGCGCAGCGGCTCTGGGGCCTCTACTGCCTCTCGGCGCGGACTTCTCCCACTCTGGGGGCTGCGGTAGCTGAGCGGGAGGCTCCGCTCCGCCTGAGCTTAGCAGCGCACCGTGGCGGTCTTTGGGGTGCGTCGAGACGCCTCTGGGCTCTCTGGAGCCCCGCCGGGATCCTCCCCGGGGCCGGAGGTGCCGCAGGGGCGGGGGCAGCCGTCCCGCCCCCCGGGGCCCCGCCGCCCGTCCCGCGCTCCCGCCGAGCCCGCCCCGTCGAGCCCCGCGCCCCCTCCCCGGCCCGCGGCCGCTCGCAGCTCGCACCTGCACGCCGCAGCCTCCCTGCGTGAGCAGCCACTGGAGACAGGCGAGGTTGCCGGTGGCGGCGGCGTCGTGGGCCGGCGTGGCCCCGTTGCGCGCCCGCGCGTCGCCGCGGAGAGCGGCCTCGGCCGCCAGGTACCGAAGACAGGCGAGGCGGCCGGCGCGGGCGGCGTGGTGAGCGGGAGAGGCTCCGAGCGCGTCCCGCAGCCCCGGCCGGAGCAGCCCTGCCGCCCGCAGCCCCCGCAGAGCCTCCACGTCGCCCTGCCGCGCCGCCTGCAGCGCCCGCTCTAGCGCCATGGTCCCGGCCCCGGACCGGCCGCGCCGGGCCGCCCGGCCGCCGCTTGGCACTGCGCGCCGCTCCCACGCCGCGGCGGCCCGGCCCCGCCGGCTCCTCCTCCTCCCCCGGGTCCGGCCCGCCCCGTGGCCCCCCCACCCCCTCCCACGCCGCCCCGCGCCGCGCGGCCCCTGCCGGAGCCCAGCCGTCGGGCACGGCAACAACCCACCCGCCACAGGCCGTGCCCGCTGTCCCCTGCCCGTTTCCCGGGCCGCAGAGCCGCCTTGCGGGGTTCTCGGGGTCCGCCGGTACCCCTGACACCTCGCAACCTCCTGGGATGAGAACCGTCCCGGCGGATGGCAGGGCTGAGCTGCTCCGAATTCCCGGAGCGTGGCTGCGGGGCGCAGCGCTTCTGCGTGGGGTGCTGCGGATTTTGGGCGGCCTGTTGGAGCCGCCGTGCCCCTCAGCAGCCTGTGGTGCCGCAGCTGCAGCAGATGCGTTTCAGCCCCGATTTGAAGCCCTCGAGACCAGAAAGTTACTTTCAGATCTGTGGCTGTAACGGGAGTCGCGCCCGGGTCCGCGCTCCTGCTGAACGAAAAAAGGCGGCGAGGGAACAGGGAGCTGCCGGTCAAGGCCCGGGGTGCCTCCTCGGGTGTCCGCAGGGTGAGGACCCCGGTCTGCCAAGGCTCCCAGCGGTCCCCTCGTGGTTTACAGCGCTCCTCCCTCCCGGCATCGCGGGGCGGGCGCCGCTGGCACCGACGGCGCTCACCGGGGTCGGGCGGAGACCCCCGCCCCGCCCGGCCCCGCTCCGTCAGCACCGCGGACAGCGGCGCCGGCTCCAGCACGGCGGACAGAGGCGAGGCCGGGCCGCCCTCCGCCCTCCGCCCGCCCCCTGCCTGCCTGCCCCCTTACCTGCACGCCCTGCCCTCCCTACCTGCCCACCGCCCGTCCTGCCTCCCTGCCCCACTGTCTCCGCTCTGCCATCCGCACGGGGCCCGGAGGCGGGGCGGCCCGGTGGCTCATAAAGGCGTTGGCGGTGCCGGAGCGCCGGAGCGCAATGTCCCCGCCGGGCGCCGTCCCGCAGCCCCCGCGCAGCCCCGCCGAGCTGCGCAAGGTGAGCTCCGGTCTGCAGGAGAACCGCCTCCGGCGATGCCGGGCCGTCCTCACGGCCTCTTCTCCCCGCAGACACTCAAGCCCCTCCTGGAGAAACGCCGCCGTGCCCGCATCAACGAGAGCCTCAATCAGCTCAAAACGCTCATCCTGCCGCTCGTCTGTAAGGACGTGAGTGCCGCGGCCCGGCCCTGCGCCCCCCTCTCCTCGCCCCGTCCCCCTCACGTCGCTCTGTCCCCGTCTGACACTTCCCCCCCTCCCCATCCCCACCCGTCCTTCCCGGTGCCCGGTGCCCACCGTCGTCCCCCGCAGAGCTCCCTGTACTCCAAGCTGGAGAAGGCGGACATCCTGGAGATGACCGTGCAGTTCCTGAGGGAGGTGCCGGCCGCGTCCTCGGCCCCAGGTGAGCCCCCCAGCCCGCCCCTCTCCCGCCGGGGCCCGACCCGGTGCTCACGGCTGTCTCTCCGCAGAGCCCTCTGAGAGTTTCCGCGCCGGGTACCGCGCCTGCCTGGCCCGCCTGGGCGCTCTGTTGGCCCCCGCTCCGCCGCTCTCCCCTCGCCACCGCCTCCCGGAGCCTCCACCGTCCGCCCGCCCCAAGGCGGCCCCGCCGCCTCACGCCGTCCCGCTCCGCGCCCCCACCACCCCACTCTGGCGGCCCTGGTAGCCCCCTGCACACAGCTGTACATAACCCTATTTATTTGTACAGACCCCGCCGCCGGCTGGGGGATCCCCAACCCTTTCGTACAAATAAACCTTTGGCCAAAGCTGAGCAGCGGTTGCCCCAGCAGCGCCGGCACTGCCTCCCACTCCCACCCCTGGTGGCACCGCCTGGGAGCTGTGAGGTGTCAGCAGCGGCCCTGGCAGCCAGTGTTGTCAATCTGCTGCCACAGCCATGGCTAATTACCAGGCAAGCTGTAGCATGGGCCCCTTGATGCAATGGCCTGGCAGCGCTTGCACCCCGCTTCTGTGCCAGGCCTGGGCTTGTCCCTGCCCCTGTGTGGGCACACGGAGGCCCAGGCAGGTCCTGGCTGTGGAGGTGACGCCTGTGGTGGGTGCACTCGGGCAGCCCAGGGCTCCGAGAAGCTGAGTGGGGCACACATTGCATCCCTGCTACCCATATTTCTCACTGGCTGACCTGCCCATCTCTGCCACCTGTTGCCTAAAACCCCAGCATTCCATAAAGCTCTCAGTTGGACCTACGGGTGCTGGGAAAAAGGGAACAAGAACTGAGCTGCTTGGGCAGGTGCTGCACTGACACGAAGGCTGCAGGCTCCCTGAGCCCCCTTCTGCCACACGCAGTGGCACAGCAGCAGCTCAGTGCTCGGTTGGGATGTGGAGCTCGGGGAGCTGGCAATGGGGGGGAGCCCCATGCAGGGCTGCTGCCTGGGCACGCCGCAGCCCTGCCACCCACAGGGGCTGTTGGTGCGTAAGCAGTTTTGCTCAGCATTTCCAGTAGCTGAGTGCTGCCGGCGGCATCCAAGGGCTGAAGCAGAGCCCTGCGTGAGCGTGGGAACAGAGCAGGGCAGTGTGCCCAGGCCATGCACGTGTGTCTGCAATGCTGCAGGGCTCACTCGTGGGCCTCGGGTGTGCCACACCGCACCGCGGGTGGGCGCGGGAGCCGACGGCCGTGCTCTGTCCCGTGTGGAGCAGGGGGGGCCGGTGAAGACGCCGCGCTCCTGGGCACGCGGGGATCACGCAGCCAACTTTGTGGCTGGGCTGTGCACCGAGGGACGGGTGGAGGCAATGAGACCCCCGGCCACAGGACAGGGTGGGAGATCCGCGCGCCTCTGGGATCGGGAGCACCGTAGGAGCGTCTCGACCTCAACGTGGCGGTGAGAGCCCGCCCGGGGCACGGGAGGAGCGCCGAGGGAGCGGCCCGGGGACAGAGAAGCGCGGGGCGGGGCGGGGCAACGACCTCGGTGCCGGCTGCGCCCGGGGAGGGGTTTTTCGGTCCGCGGGAGCTGTCGCAACCGGGGCAGCGCCGGAGCCCGGCGTGGAGCCTCGCGGGCAGCGGGTGGGAGCGGCAGGGCGAGGTCCGCCGCGGCCGAGGTGTGCGAAAACCCAGAGCAGCGGCTCCGGCGCCGCCGGGACGCGCTGCTGCTCCGGGACGGGCGGCCCAGGGCCACCGGCCGGTCCCGCGCTCTCTCGCTCCGAGGAGCGCAGCCCGAGCGCTGCGCCGCGACGGACGCGCGCAGCTCCTCGTCCTCCGGGCCGCCGCACAGCGCCGCTCCCCGCAGCGCCCCCGCGCGGCACCCGCGGGCACGGCAGCCGCTCCGCCCCCTGCGCACGGGCGGGGAGGACGCGGGGCGGGGCGGGCGCTCTCGGTTCGGTGCCGCCGCCGCCGCCGCAGCGCCGTTGCTGGCGGGCGCCGGTGCCGCCATGTCGGAGCGGGGCGCGGCGGGCCCGGGCCCGGCCACCATCCAGGTGTCCAGGTAACGACGCACCGCCCCGCTGGGGGCCCGGTGCCGCCGCCCGCCCGGTGTCGGTGCCCTTGAGCCGCCCTCGGGGTGCGCCGCAGGCGCCGGGCGGGGCGGGGCGGAGCGGAGTGGCCGGACGGGGCCGGGATGAAGCCGCTCCCGGGGTGAACCGCGCTGCCACCGGGATGGGGCCGGGGCGCGGCGCCGTGAGGGGGGCGGCCCGAGCGCGGCGGGTACCGGGCGGTTACCACGGAGACGGGCAGGAAGCGCTCGCCACGTGCTGACGTCTCCGGCATCCGGAGCGGCGCGGCGCGGCATGGCGGGGCGGGACCCTCCCGGCGCTGAGCGCTCCCTCCGCAGGATCATGCGCCCCGACGACGCCAACATCGCGGGCAACGTGCACGGCGGCACCGTGCTGAAGATGATCGAGGAGGCGGGAGCCATCATCAGCACCCGGCACTGCAACTCCGGGCAGGGGGTGAGCGGGGCCGGGGGGGTCCGCCGCGTTCGCCCCTTTCTCCGTTCTGTGCTACGTGGGCGGCTCTGCCTTGCCGTGCTGCTTCGGTTCAAGACGCGCAGAGAAGCCTGGAGGTGCCGGCAGGGCAGGAAAGCGGTGGCTCCGCGAGGTGCTCTGCGCCTGCCCGCCCTGTCCTGCTCTGCTGCCGGGGGGGCACGCAGCTCTGCAGCCACTCTGCTGCTGTGCGCTCAATTCCTGCTGCCGGAAAGCTTTTTGCTTCCTGTGCCTCCGCATAAGGGAGGACCCCGCAGCGCTGGGGGCACAGCGGGTGCTGAGCCACGGTTCTCAGGGCTCCATGGGCTGTGGTGGCTTTGTGTCCTCCTCTTCTTCCTTCTCATCAAGTGCCCGGTGCCGGGTGCTCCCCCTCTCACTGCCTGCTGACCTTGTGGCGCTGTGCCCCCAGGAACCCTGTGTGGCTGCGTTGGCACGCGTGGAGCGGACGGACTTCCTCTCACCCATGTGCATCGGAGAGGTGGCCAACGTCAGCGCCGAGATCACCTACACCTCCAAGCATTCCGTGGAAGTCCAGGTCAATGTGATGTCTGAAAACATCTTAACAGGTAAATGGTTCATGGGCGGGCAGGGCGCTGCTGCTGCTGCATGCCAGGATGGCAGTCTGGACACTAGAGGGCTGCGTTCACTGCCAGCATCCCTGCTGCTGGGTCCCAGCATGCTGTGCCGTGGCACGCAGGACACCGTGGGCACCTTGCAGCAGCTGCCTGGTGACACGCAGAGCTTTCTGTGCCACCTCCCGGGTTAAGCTCTGCTCCAAAGTTTTTGGTGCAGCATGAACTCCAGGCAGGGTCTGAGAATGCCTCCCAGTCCTCAGAGCATTGGGGAAATTATTGCTGTGAGCCAGGAGCACGTGCTGAAACCTGGGCTTTGCTCCTTGCAGCACCAGGCTGGGCTGGGCTGGAGGGATAGTGGCAAGCGGGGCACAGCTCTGTGGCCCCTGATTGTGTGGCTGCTGCTTTTGGTGAAAGGATCGGATCATTTAGCACACATTTCCAGTTTTGTCCTGACAAAAGCCCTTCCCTGCAGTTGCCATGGTAACCAGCTGGGCTTGTTGGGATGCCTGTGGTGTGACAATGCACTGCGTTCCAAACACCGTTGCAGCCACGTGGCTGCGTGGCACTGCTCCCTGCCTCGCTCACACTGCCCTGCTTCTTCCAGGGGCCAAGAAGGTGACGAACAAAGCGACGCTGTGGTATGTGCCACTGTCCCTAAAGAACGTGAACAAGGTGGTGGAGGTGCCCCCCATCCAGGTAGGGTTGCCGGTGGCCCCGGGCTCAGTGGGAGCTCGGATGGCAGACGGGGGTCTCTGTCCTTGCCATCAGGGAGTGCAGCGCCTTGTGCCTCTCGCTGCAGTACGTGCACAAGGAGCAGGAGGATGAGGGCAGGAAGCGCTACGAGGAGCAGAAGCTGGAGCGGCTGGAAACCAAGCAGAGGAATGGTGATGTGATCCTCCCAGTGATCAACCCAGGTAACGAGGCCGGAGTCAGTGATTGCCATTCGGAGCAAATGGTGACTGTAGGCTCTGGGGTCCAGCAGACAGGTGGGGGGCTGAGCTGGGGGCACAGAGCCAGGCTTCTGCAGCTCACTGCGTGCGAGCAGTGCTGCTGTGCTGCTGTGTGCTCGGAGCTGCGGGGCCAGGTGGGGGCATGCAGGTGCTCACAGCTCCAGCATGGCCAGAGGAACCGATCCCAGAGTGCAACCCAGGCTGCAAATGGATTTGCAGGGATGGAACTGGGTCACCTTGGCAGTAATTAATAATGCAGGTTGCTTAAATGCCTTTTCTCCCTTGCTCCTCATGCTCACAGATAGGCAGACGAAAGGTAAGGCTGTGGCACGGCGTGCAGTGGGCAATGCCTTTGAGGTCGGTTGTGAGGCGCTGGGACCAGTGGCACGGTTTCTGTCACTTAGGTTTAATGGCACTCGCGTGTCAGTGGACAGCAGTGTGTGCATGGCTGGGGGTCCTGAAATGGAAGCACGGCGGTTTGCAAAACCCAGCGCCGCATCGCCAGCAGGGTTCAGGGGTGCACGGCTGGGCTGTGCTGACCCTGCTGTGTTTCCCCCTGAGCAGAGCCGCACACGGTGGGCTACAGCCAGTCCAGCCTGATCCACCTGGTGGGCCCGTCGGACTGCACGCTGCTGGGCTTCGTGCATGGAGGTGAGTTAGCAGCATGGCTCCGTCCGGGGCTTGGCACCGGGTTGGTCCCTGGGCACACTGTGGGATTCAGCACTGCTTTGGTGGAGGGGAAGAAAAGCTATTCTGGCACGTGGGCACTTTGCAGCTGGTGTCTGCAGCCCTTGTTTGGTGACAATTATAATGCACCATTTACTTCATTTCTCCTGCGTCGCGCTCGCCGTCCCTGAGCGCTGCCTAATGGCACCGCGTGCGGTAATCGGCTCGCAGAGAGCCGGAATGAGCCCCCGGGAGCCCGGAGCCAGCAAATGGGCTGACAGGGTGAGGATAATTGAGGCGTGCAATTTTCTCATCTACCTACAAAGTGCTGCCTGCACAGCCAGCCGAGCTGCGAGCGCAGCGGTGCCGGATTCCTGCTGTGTCCGGGCAGGGCAGCGGGGCGGTGATCTGCAGCGCACAGTGAGAGCTCTGAGGCTCACTTCTGAAGAGCAGAGCTGAGACGCCACCAAACTTCAAGGTCTAATTAGGAACCGTGAGGTCTAATTAGCACCAGGGGGCAGATTGGGTAAGAATAGCAGCCGGGC